GAGCACGGATGGACATGCGTAGCAGGTAGGGATACCATGTCTGTCTGGGCCAAGCTGCGGCAATAAGTATGACCTGGGCCTTGTCCTCTGTGAGCTTGCATAGAACCCTGTGTATCAGTGGAATCGGTGGAAAAAAGTGTACATGAGGGAGTTGTTCCAAGGAATGAGGAATGCATCCCCTAAAGATGCGTTTCTGAGTCCTGCTCTGGAGCAAAACAGATGGCATTTGCGGTTTTGAGAAGTGGCAAACAGGTCTATCGATGGAGTGCCCCAGTGGGAGAAGAGCTGTTGGAGTATCATGGGATGTAATTCCCATTCGTGTTCCTCGGAGAAGTGTCTGCTGAGCGTGAGATTGATGTGCAGACGTGTCTCTGATAGGGACCAGCAGCCCTATGCCTTGTGGTCGCCTAGGTGCACTCCCCAAACTATCAGGGAAGCGTCCGTGGTAAGCATGAGTACTGGGGAGTGTGGATGGAAGGGAACACCCGTGCATAGGTTCTCTGGTTTTGTCCACCAATGTAGGGAGGCCAGTAAGTTCGGTGGCGGAGTCAGTGTTCTGCAGAAACTGTCTCTGTTGGGTTTGTAGTTGGAGTTGAGATGTCAGATGGGGTGGGATCTGAGTTACTACAGAAAATTCTTTCCTGGGTATCTGGCTGGTGAATCTTGCCCATATGCTCAGGGTTTAGCTGATCGCCATATTTGGGGTCGGGAAGGAATTTTCCTCCAGGGCAGATTGGAAGAGGCCCTGGAGGTTTTTCGCCTTCCTCTGTAGCATGGGGCACGGGTCACTTGCTGGAGGATTCTCTGCTCCTTGAAGTCTTTAAACCACGATTTGAGGACTTCAGTAGCTCAGACATAGGGGAGAGGTTTTTCGCAGGAGTGGGTGGGTGAGATTCTGTGGCCTGCATTGTGCAGGAGGTAGGACTAGATGATCATAATGGTCCCTTCTGACCTTAGTATCTATGAAAACCCTGAAGGCATCTCATGTGCAGCGTGGCGTATTTGACCACAAAGGTGGTGGCTGCCACGTGACCAAGAGGCTGAAGGCAGGTCCGTGCCTGTATTCTGGGGCGAACAGAGATCGTGTGTATGAGATGTGTAATAGTGAGGAATCTCTTGTGTGGAAGCGAGGCTCTAGTTCGAATCAAGTCCAGGTGCGCTCCAATGAACTCTATCTGCTGTGTAGGTATTAGGGTGGATTTCTGGAAATTTATTTGCAAGCCTAGACTGTGGAAAAGGGAGAGGGTAAAGTTTGTCGCATTTAACGTCTCGTCGTAGGAGCTGGCTTTGATAAGGCAGTCAGCTAACTAGGGGAAAAATATAATGCTGTGTTTGCGGAGGTGGGCTACAACTACAGCTAGGGTCTTGAAGAATACCCACGGTGCTATGGAGAGTCCGAGTCGAAGTACTCTGTATTGAAAGTAGTTGTGTCCGAGTATGAATCGCAGGAAGCATCTGTGTGCTGGATGAATGAATATATGAAAATAGTCATCTTGTAGGTCGAGGGCTGTGAACCAGTCCCCTTGTTCCAGCACAGGTACTATTGTGCCCAATGTGACCATCTTGAATTTTTGTACACTACTGTGTACATTTTGTACACAAACTAGGGCACTAATTTGGTCTAAAATAGGTCTCCACCCCCTGCCTTTCTTTTGGGTCAAAAAGTAGTTGGAGTAGAACCCTTTCCCCCGATGTTGCGTCAGTACATGTTCGACTGCATCTAGGTAGAGAAGATGAGCCACCTCCATGCGGAGAAGGTGCTCGTGAGAGGGGTCCCTGAAGAGGGACAGGGAAGGGGAAAGGATGGGAGGGGGAAGATAAGAAAGGGATGGAGTAACCTGACTGAACTATTTCCAGGACCAAACAGTCCTGCGTGATCTGTTGCCAGACATGGTGGAAAGCCTGGAGGCGGTAGCCAATGAGCAAATAGGTGGCGGAGTCAAGGGGTGGTTGCGCAGAACCCCTGACCAGCACTTCAAAATTGTTATTTGTTACCTGATAGGTGGAAAGTAGTTGGTTGCGCCTGGTTTTGCCTGCGCCTAGGAGGTCTGTTGTGGTTTCTCCCAGTGTCATACTGGGGTCAGTGATATTGATATTGTTGTGCGCGGGGCATCTGATAAGGTTGATACCGTGTTCTCCTGGGGATGGATGGGTATACGCCCAATGTGCGCAAAGTGGCTCTAGAGTCTTTCATTGTGTGAAGGACTTCATTGGTTTTTTTGGAAAAGAGTTTATCTTTGTCAAAGGGGAGATCCTCCACTTTGGTCTGCAAATCTTTGGGGATACCGGATGCCGAGAGCCAGGTAGACCTGCAGATCACCTGCAGTGGTGCAGGCTGCTGGATCAGCCATGTCCATGGATGCTTATAGTGCCATCCTAGACACCAACTGACCTTCGACGAGGACTAACTTGAAGTCCACTCTCATGTCCTCCAGTATATGGGAGGCAAAATCAAAGAGCTTGTTGTAGTTGTCATAGTCATAGCTTGCAAGGGGGGCAGAATAATTTACAATTCTAAATTGCAGAGCAGAAGAGGTATAAACCTTGCAGCCCAGGAGGTAAAGGCATTTGAGGTCCTTGTCCTGCAGAGTGGGCCAGTGGTGTGGCTGCTTTGTTCTCTGCGTCGCGGCATCCACCACAAGAGAATTGGGTTGTGGATGGGAAAATAAGAAATCGACATCCCTCGCGGGCACGTAGTATTTACATTCAGCTTTCTTGCCTGTTGGTGGGATGGGGGCAGGGGTCTGCCAGAGAGTATCAGCTGGTTCTAGGAGAGCTTCATTTATGGGTAGTGCGATCTTTGAGGGTGCAGAGGGATAGAGGATTTTGAGGAGTCTATGTTCTGTCTCCTGGACTTCCTCCAAAGGGATTTCCTGGCTGAGTGCCACGCTCTTGAAAAGTTCCTGGAATTCCTTAAAGTCGTCCACGTTTCATGGAGGTGGAGGCATGAGGGCATCCTCTGTGGCTGATGGCAAGATAGGAGCCAGTAAATCCGGGAAGGGTTCATAGCCCACCTCTTCAAGAGGGGTTTCAGGAGCTCTAGATGTTTATTGGAGCTGGGGATACAGGCGTAGGATGAGTTTGCGGTCCAGTAGAAGGGGCACAAGGAGGAGCAGTGCCAGGAGCCGACCACGGGTACCACTGAGGCCAGGGCACCGGATAGGGAAAGTTGGGTCCCAGCCACTGGAGGACAAAGTAGGGAAACTGAGGCTGATTCTGATGATGCGCCATGTCTTTGGGTATGTATGGCTCCGGTGGAGGGGGAGACTCAGGCAGGGAGAACTCCGCCTGCTGCTGTGTGTTGTTCTCTATCAGTGAAAGTAGCCAGGTCAGGTGGTGAGAGCTGCTGTTTAAACAGTGAGTGCTCCATGTGGAGGAGCAGAGAGTCAGGCTCAGGGGCCAGAGATATCTTGCTGATGCAGGAATTGTTGCTGCTCCCTAGGCTGGCGTGCTGCAGAGCGTGAAGTGTGAGCGGCAGCCCAGAGTGATTTTAGTTTCACTTTTGTAGGTGCCACGAAACGTTTGTTAGAGCCCCGCAGGGGGTCTGAATCTGCTCCAAGGGCTGCAGGCAGGCTCGGTGCTGACATTCTTGTCGGCACCGGGGTGGAATGCATTACCAGCACAGAGTCCATTGTCGGTGCCGGCAGGACTGGTGCTGAGGAGAGGTTCCCCCTGCAGGAAGTTAGGTCCCTGCTTTTGCATCCTGCATGAGTTGCTGCTGAGGTGCTGGGGAAGCCAGAGTTGCCTGCTCTCGGCACTGTCAGCACCAAGGGTAAAGACCTTACGGGAGATCCTTTACCCTTTTGAGTGTCTCTGAGAGGAGCCATTAGGGCTTCCTGTCTCTTCGCATGAGAGGGTGAAGCCGTGCTCCCGGTCAGTTCTGACTTGGCAGGGGAGCGTGAGGGAGAGGGTTTACTGCCCTTCTTCGTAGGCGACTGCAGAGCTTTCTCCATGAGGAGCGTTTTTAGCCGCAAGTCTCTGTCACGGCGAGCTCTAGTTTTTAAGTTGGTGCAGTGGAAACACTTGGCAGAGACGTGTGTCTCGCCAAGCCATTTAACACAGAGTAAGTGCCCGTCAGATAGCAGCATAGACTCCTTGCAGGAGCCACATTTCTTAAACCCTGGCGACCACAGCATAACGAAAGTATGAGCGGCCAGGGAAGTCTCAACAAGAGACTAACTTGAGGGGGGGGGGAATATTTTTTTTTAAACTAACGAACTATGCTAAAGGAAAGGGAGAACTGGGAAATGGCTAGCTAACTATTTCTATTTTTCTCTGCTTATTTCTCACAGTAACCAGGGAAGAGATGAGCACTGCCCCAAGTCCCGTCTTCAGCCGACGACAGTTGAGAAGGAACTGGGGGGGGGGGGGGGGGGGACGCGCGTGCTCAGGCAGACCCTAACGACAACGCAAGACAGTAGCTGAGCGCGTGCGTCCCGACCAGGCACTGCTACTGAAGATCTCCGATCAACAGCGCCGGGACGCACTGTGACCTGGAGTGGAGCACCCACAGGGACAGCACTCAAAAAAGAATCCTGAGTTTTAAAGGGCCAAGCTCCGTTAATAGGCAGACCGGCAGTGTCTGCTATTAAAGGGGCCAGCAATCTCAGCTACAGTAGCCAACGAAATTATGGTAAATTTGTCAGTCTCATACCAGCATACTTCTCAAAAAGTTAACTACAATTAAAGTCAAAGGGATAATCTCCAACCAATTAAAAATTTTGGCATTAAAAATTTTACTCAATGCTCACAGGCCAATTTAGTGAGTTTTTATCTTTACCATATTATTAATTATTATTATTTGTATTATAGTATCACAGAAGCCCCAGGCATGGACCAGAACATTACTGTGTTAGGTACGGTACAAATACAAAATTAAAGGATGGTTCCTTGCCCAAAGAGCTTACTATCTTAACCATTCTAATATAAATATTTAAAGCATTATGTAGCCATATTTTTCTGGTTTTATCCGTTTTTCTTTTTTTTTTTAATGTGTTTACCTGACCAGAAGCATGTCCCTCATCTGCTGGTGACTGTATTTCCATTGTTTTTCCTTCCTTCTCTCCTGAGACTGGAGTTCCTTCAGTATCCTTTCTATTACATTTCTCTCGATCAGCTGTAAGTAAAACTGCAACTATAAATACTGCCTGATGAAACTTAGAACTAAACAGAAGCACAACTTCCTCTCCTCCTTAAAAGAAAAGTACATTCTTATGTAAGTAAATTTGTAAGTCTAGGAAATATGGGTTGCAACAATTTTTCAGAACTATGCTAAGGCCTTTTTGGTGGATGGTGGGTTCTTGACCAGAGTTTTGTCTTAACATGATTTAACGCACCTGATAATTCCTGGAGGACTAGTGTGGATACACTAAACTGATTTTGAAAGTGATTAGACTAACATACACTTTCAAACTGCATTTAAAATTGGATTAAACTAATGCCAGTATGGGAAAGACTAAAAACACTGATCAAACTTCCTGCTGAATTAAACCTTAGAGTCTTCAGCAGATCTCAGAGAAAGTATTAAAAAGCCAGAAAACTCACCTTGGAGTGCTAAAATCTTTTCATCACAAATGCTCATGACTTTTTTGATGCTGCCTTTTACTTGAAAGGATTCAGTTCTTGGATTATTTTCTTCTTCTGAATGTGGGATTCCATGTGGGGGAAAATTTAAAGTATTAGTATGTTTAGGCAATATGCACTCAGAAGGCAGTTTAGTGTCAGTCTCCAAAGCCAGGGAGTCCATCCACCTCAAGAGTCTGATACTTTTACTCAAAATAATTCCTTAAATTGGTACCGTTTTTACAAACATATGGAGATACAATAAGATAAGGCAAATGTGTATCAAGATAGCACAGAAAAACAGTAGTTCTACAAAATACTGCAGAAACAGTTGCACAATTTTTGCTAATCAGTGATGTGGTCTTGATGTATATGAGGAGTTCTCGTTAATGTTAAGCATAACCTACTAATGTTAACAGGAGTTGAATATTTATTAAAGGTATAAACTACTTCATCTTTCTATATGACTCGGTGTTTCTACATTAACTTGACTATTTTATGTATCACTGCTTTCATGATTAAGCAAATGTATGTCAATAAATCACAGTAAATAAGAGTCAGACTATAACTAGTAGGGTAGAAGTTAATGTGCATCTGAAATGAGGAGGAGCAGCAGTTCAAGTTGTTTACTTCGTGAACTCATGTGCCTACAGAAAGATTAAACTGTTCTGATTCTCAGGGTCCTCTTTACTTTTTTTGAACATATAAGTTAGCACCAACTTTCTAGTTTCCATATACTGATTTCTGCTTTTAAGAGAAAGGATGGAGTCAGATCCTTGATGTATAGTGTATATTCCTCTCTTCTCAGGAGAGAGTTCATTGATGAGGCAACATGATAGGATACAATTTGGGAAAGAAACAATAGGATACAAAAATAGAAAGTCTCCTAAATAACTTTTGGTAGGGCTCATGTACTGATGCTAGATAAAAGGACTGTCCCACTGTCACAAAGAGAACAAAAAGCTAAATTGAAAAGGCGCCTCTGCTGTGAACATTTATGCACAGGAGTAACTTTACATAGGTCGAAACAACAGACTGGACTTCTACATAGAGTGCTTCAACCAATGTGCACGGGCTGAAATTGTGGAAAAGCAGCATCACTTGCCCCATAACCTCAGCTGTGCAGAGCACAATGCCATCCACAGCCTCAGAAACAACTCTGACATCATAATCAAGAAGGCTGACAAAGGAGGTGCTGTCGTCATCATGAATAGGTGGGAATATGAACAAGAGACTGCTAGGCAGCTCTCCAGCACCACTTTCTACAAGCCATTACCCTCTGATCCCACTGAGGGTTACCAAAAGAAACTACACCATTTGCTCAAGAAACTCCCTGAAAAAGCACAAGAACAAATCCGCACAGACACACCCCTGGAACCCCGACCTGCGGCATTCTATCTGCTACCCAAGATCCATAAACCTGGAAATCCTGGACACCCCATCATCTCAGGCATTGGCACTCTGACAGCAGGATTGTCTGGCTATGTAGACTCCCTCCTCAGGCCCTACGCTACCAGCACACCCAGCTATCTTTGAGACACCACTGACTTCCTGAGGAAACTACAATCCATCGGTGATCTTCCTGAAAACACCATCCTGGCCACTATGGATGTAGAAGCCCTCTACACCAACATTCCACACAAAGATGGACTACAAGCCGTCAAGAACACTATCCCCGATAATGTCATGGCTAACCTGGTGGCTGAACTTTGTGACTTTGTCCTTACCCATAACTATTTCACATTTGGGGACAATGTATACCTTCAAATCAGCAGCACTGCTATGGGTACTCTCATGGCCCCACAGTATGCCAACATTGTTATGGCTGACTTAGAACAACACTTCCTCAGCTCTCGTCCCCAAATGCCCCTACTCTACTTGCGCTACATTGATAACATCTTCATCATCTGGACCCATGGAAAAGAAGCCCTTGAGGAATTCCACCATGATTTCAACAATTTCCATCCTACCATCAACCTCAGCCTCGACCTGTTCACACAAGAGATCCACTTCCTGGACACTACAGTGCTAATAAACGATGGTCACATAAACACCACCGTAGACCGGAAACCTACTGACCGCTATGCCTACCTACGTGCCTCCAGCTTTCATCCAGACCACACCACATGATCCATTATCTACAGCCAAGCTCTATGATACAACTGCATTTGCTCCAACCCCTCAGACAGAGACAAACACCTACAAGATCTCTATCAAGCATTCTTACAACTACAATACCCACCTGCTGAAGTGAAGAAACAGATTGACAGAGCCAGAAGAGTACCCAGAAGTCACCTACTACAGGACAAGCCCAGCAAAGAAAATAACAGAACGCCACTAGCCATCACCTTCAGCCCTCAACTAAAACCTCTCCAACGCATCATCAATGATCTACAACCTAGCCTGAAGGACGACCCATCACTCTCACAGATCTTGGAAGACAGGCCAGTCCTTGCTTACAGACAGCCCCCCAACCTGAAGAAAATACTCACCAGCAACCACACACCACACAACAGAACCACTAACCCAGGAACCTATCCTTACAACAAAGCCCGATGCCAACTGTGTCCACATATCTATTCAGGGGACACCAGCATAGGGCCTAATCACATCAGCCACACTATCAGAGGCTCGTTCACCTGCACATCTACCAATGTGATATATGCCATCATGTGCCAGCAATGCCCCTCTGCCATGTACATTGGTCAAACTGGACAGTCTCTACGTAAAAGAATAAATGGACACAAATCAGACGTCAAGAATTATAACATTCAAAAACCAGGCAGAGAACACTTCAATCTCTTTGGTCACTCGATTACAGACCTAAAAGTGGCAATTCTTCGAGAAAAAAGCTTCAAAAACAGACTCCAATGAGAGACTGCTGAATTGGAATTAATTTGCAAACTGGATACAATTAACTTAGGCTTGAATAGAGACGGGGAGTGGATGGGTCATTACACAAAGTAAAACTATTTTCCCTTGTTTATTCCCCCCAACCCGCTCTCCTGCTGGTAATAGCTCACCTTAAGTGATAACTCTCCTTACAGTGTGTATGGTAACACCCATTGTTTCTTGTTCTCTATGTATATAAATCTCCCCACTGTATTTTCCACTGAATGCATCCGATGAAGTGAGCTTTAGCTCACAAAAGCTGATGCCCAAATAAATTGGTTAGTCTCTAAGGTGCCACAAGTACTCCTTTTCTTTTTACATATGTGACAAGTCTCTTCGCATATGTAAAGTTATGTATTTGCCAATCGGGGCCTAAAGCAGTATTTTCATGCATTTAATATTCACTCATATTTTATATAGTTGCCTACCTGTTGGATCTTTAGTTGCACCTTCTGGTTGCTTCTAGAAGAAAACAAAAAGAAAATAAATGAGTGGAAAATACTGACCATTTCACTTTTCTAATGAAAAGTGGCACTATTTAGTAGTTTGTTGCGCTGAAGGGAATTTTTTAAATAATCTTCTGGATTCATTTCATAGTGGGGCATAATAGTAACTATCATGAGTTGTTGCCTGTCAAATAATTTTATTTCAAACTCTAACCAGGTACATTAATTCTTGTGCTGAAATGACTTTACAGAATCATTTATACAGTCATTAAAAAAGGATCTTAGTTCAATGAGCTGCATTATCTTCAGAAAAAAGAAGTCCTCATTCTACTTTAATAATTATACTGTAGGAATATCCGTATATTAAGTGACTGCAGAGTCAGGCCCTCTGGCCCCAGTCATGGAACGATTTGTGAACATAGTCCCACTGAGTTAAATCTCTGCAAAATTGAGACTTGTGACTCCAAATAACAGTCCTAATTCACTCTATGAAATATTAAATGAAACACTGTTAATGGAATATCACAGCTGACACATATTTAACAAGCACCAAGGTCAGAAAATTCAGTTATGTTTCACACAGCAGCTGCAGTTGAGCCCCAGATGTATATACAGGATCAACCCTGCCCCCTTCCAAAGCAGAAAACTGTAAAATACAGCAAAACCTCCATGGTTTTATCATGCAAGGTGTCTGGCCATGGAGAGGGTGTGCAGGGGAAAATCACATTCTGTATCATGGAATTTCCTGATTTTTGTGCCTGGGTAATTTCAGTTATAATGCTTTTGTTTGAATTTAATTTCTTTGGCTAGCTAAAAATAATTACACCATGAAATGGAAGTCATAGCACCTGGTCCTGTAACCACTGAAGTCAATGGTAAAATTAACCTCAATATTGCAGGATCCGGTCCTTAATGCACTATGATTACATATGCAAATAAATGCACTGGAGCCTTTGATTAAATATTAAAATAAAACTTTCCACATATATTCAGGCAGCCCTTGTTTGAATTTCCCCATCTTGTAAGAGGAGAGATCTGCCAGGCATTCTGCTAGGTATTACCCCTGGAAATTTCCAGTTTCATTTATTCTATAGGTGGGGCCTTTAATTTTCAGTTTTAATTTAATGTAATTAATTCCCAGGAAATTATCAGTGTTTATTACCACATAAACAAGTGAAAATCAGTGCAAAAAACTATTCATAATTTTTCTGGGTAAATATCAGGATTTATTTGGGTGGATGGAAAGACAGGGGAAAAAAGTATTCAGTAGATTAATGCTTTGAATTCCGTTCATCAATGTGGTTTGCTGCAGAACTAAAACAGAACTCAAAACACAATGCCACCTCTGAGTTTAAGAAAACAATGTCTTTGGAATCCCCAAATAATGCTTTTCATTTGAATAAACAATTTACAGTTGTAGACTTAGAACTATTAGCCTATAAATATTTACATTTAATAATTGAGCCACTCCCTTTGCAGCGCATACACTCAACTTCATCCTTTTCTCCTGTTTTTGTTTTTTTAAAAGCTTTCAAATACTTCCTTGTGTTCTGAAATGTAGTCCAATACAGATTTTCCTTTTCTTCCCATTTTCATGTGTCAAATCTTTAAACCATTATCTGCTAATAGCTTGAAATGTGTACGTGGTAGGCATGAGATTCATCAGTACGTTCAGATGCACACGCACTTCAGAGCTTGTGTGTGCACCTGTTTGTTTATTGTGTGCATCTTCTAGACTAATACATAGCCTTACATGAATGGCAGCTTGGCATAAACACACAGATTAATGTATTATCATAAAACATATATCTCATGCAATGTATTGTATTTTCCTAATAAAACAAGTTATTTTTTATATATTTGAATGATACAAAAGTAAGGTGAAAATCAGAAAAAACTGAATAATACTTTTTGTAAAACCCAGAAATTTTTCGGTAAAAATCAGTTTAAACGGAAAATGAAGGGGCTTATCTATAAGGCACAATATTCTCTGGGGCACAGAACTCATGCAAATTGCCATGACACACTCCATCAAAAAAGCTGCTAGTCCTGTTACGCCTCTCCTAATGCCACTGTAAAAGTAGGAGGAGTGGGAGGAGATTTCTAAAGGAAACGAGGTGAAAGATGGATTACCAAGATTGGGGAGGCAGTCAGGGAACCAATGGCTGACTGGGACTACACCTACACTCTGAGCTCGGAGTGTGATTCCCCTGCTTGTATGCGCATACGAGCACTTGCTCTCAGTGAGCTAGTGCAAGTTTAAATGGCAGTGTAGTCATAGCTGCACAGGTGGCAGCAGCAGAGACACCAGTTTCAGGCAAGCCTGCGACCACAGGAGGACAACAGGATTTGTTCTTGATTAAAAGGCATGCGCTCAGTGGGAGCGAGAGCTAAGGTGAACCAGGGCTGTCTGGGGCAAGCTAGACCTTTCAAGGGCCCCTTGATTATTTTAAGATCCTTTTCTCTTAAATGCTTTGCGCTTATATGATTAAATAAACAACACTACAGTGCTAATAAGCGATGGTCACATAAACACCACCGTAGACCGGAAACCTACTGACCGCTATGCCTACCTACATGCCTCCAGCTTTCACACGATCCATTGTCTACAGCCAAGCTCTACGACACAACCGCATTTGCTCCACAACCCTCAGACAGAGACAAACACCTACAAGATCTCTATCAAGCATTCTTACAACTACAATACCCACCTGCTGAAGTGAAGAAACAGATTGACAGAGCCAGAAGAGTACCCAGAAGTCAGCTACTACTAGACAGGCCCAACAAAGAAAGTAACAGAACGCCACTAGCCATCACCTTCAGCCCCCAACTAAAACCTCTCCAACGCATCATCAAGGATCTACAACCTAGCCTGAAAGACGACCCATCACGCTCACAGATCTTGGGAGACAGGCCAGCCCTTGCTTACAGACAGCCCCCCAACCTGAAGAAAATACTCACCAGCAACCTCACACCACACAACAGAACCACTAACCCAGGAACCTATCCTTACAACAAAGCCCGATGCCAACTGTGCCCACATATCTATTCAGGGGACACCAGCATAGGGCCTAATCACATCAGCCAGACTATCAGAGACTCGTTCACCTGCACATCTACCAATGTGATATATGCCATCATGTGCCAGCAATGCCCCTCTGCCATGTACATTGGTCAAACTGGACAGTCTCTATGTAAAAGAATAAATGGACACAAATCAGACGTCAAGAATTATAACATTCAAAAACCAGGCAGAGAACACTTCAATCTCTTTGGTCACTCGATTACAGACCTAAAAGTGGCAATTCTTCGAGAAAAAAGGTTCAAAAACAGACTCCAATGAGAGACTGCTGAATTGGAATTAATTTGCAAACTGGATACAATTAACTTAGGCTTGAATAGAGACGGGGAGTGGATGGGTCATTACACAAAGTAAAACTATTTCCCCATGTTTATTCCCCCTCCTCCCCTGCTGTTCCTGTCAACTGCTGGAATGGCCCACCTTGATTATCACTACAAAAGGTTCCCCCCTCCACCCCCTGCTCTCCTGCTGGTAATAGCTCACCTTACCTGATCACTCTCGTTACAGTGTGTATGCTAACACCCATTGTTTCATGTTCTCTGTGTATATAAATCTCCCCACTGTATTTTCCACTGAATGTATCCGATGAAGTGAGCTGTAGCTCATGAAAGCTTATGCTCAAATAAATTGGTTAGTCTCTAAGGTGCCACAAGTCCTCCTTTTCTTTTTGCAGATACAGACTAACACAGCTGCTACTCTGAAAGCTTTTTTAAGAAGGTCACTGTAATCAGAAGCTCATAGGCTTCCAAAGGGAAGAACAGCAGATACTAAACCCAGTAGGACCTGCTGGGTAAACATGTTTGGTAAACAGGGTACTGCAGCCTAGGGCCATTTGCGAGTGGGAAAATCATGTGATTCCACTTGAAGAGAGGTAGTCACAGGGTCTGAGACTTGAGGTGGTGCCCTCAGAGAAGGGGCAGAGTTGCAATTAGCCCTGTAACTGTGACACATGGTTTTTTGCTGTAAACTTTCTGCTACCTACTTTTTCATCTCTATTAGGCCAAATGATTTTCTTTATCTTCATTGCTTTAATTAGGTTTTCACAGACACTACAGGGCTCACATGTGGTGATTAATTCAGTGTCACTCAGATCATCCTCAGTTCTGTAAAAGACAAAAACACTGTCATTTTTATAAATTAGCTCTTTTTAGGTTGAAGTTATTTCTCTTAGCATATCTAAAGCGAGTTCTTCTTCCTTCTCTTCCTCTGCCACTGACCAAAGGAGACTAGTAAAGAACCTCAGCCCCATGACTAAGACTCAGGATATACTGTGGACTCACTGCCATGGGAAGTGATGGAATGAGGGTGCATAGACTCTATCCAAGGAGAAGTCTGTATGGTCCTCCTTTCAGCTGTGTGGTCCCAGCACTGTAGAGATACTATTCCTGTCCTCACACGCACACCCCTGCCCACCACCACCCAGATCCTCCCAGTGTCCTAGCCCAGCTGCCTTCCTCCTCCTCTCTAGTAGGGTGAGGTAACATACTCTAGTGTACCTTTTTGTAATCTTGTCCATCCGCCATTCACCCATGGCTCTCACCACACCCCTCTTCTACATCATAGTATCCATCATCATCCTCCCTCCCCCTTTCCCCATGGTCTCCATTTCCTCTTCCTTGTTACTCTCACATCTCTACAGTTCCCATCAGGTCTACCTACTCCTCTTCCCTCCCCACCTCTATCTCCTTCCTCCTCCCACCCGCACAAATTTAGGTTTTACATCTGCATCCTCCTCCTCACCTCTGGTGACATTTGCCCCCATTCTGCCCCTTCCTCCACCCTCTCTACCTCCCAAATCCACACCCTCTGCCACCACCTCCCTCCCCTTTCATGCCACTATTCCTCACACTTCCTACCTCAGAATAATTGCATTAGCTTCTGCACAGATGATTGCATGCTGGTCACAACTACCATCATCCTTCTGTGAAAACAGACTATTCACTGTCCCTTTTGGAAATCCATTGTAGCCAACAGCAACCTATAATAACACCAGGCAAAAGTAAACAAAACAAAAAAGAATACTTTCCCAGGATCCTGATACATTTAGGCCCAATTCAACTCCCAAAGATTGTCATTGACTTCCATGGGAGTTGCTGTACTGTTGTGCACTTTGATCAGTTCATTATTATTCTTTGAGCATGTAGATTTCCATCTCCAAAAATGTTTGGATTTTGAATCATGAATATTAAATATATCTGAAGTCCCAGTTAGGGTTATAGTCCCTAACAGCAAATCCTGTTTTTAGGACAATTTTTCTTTCAATTTCCATGAAATCTTGTTCATGCAAATTTGAAATTTGCTTTCCATGAACAGATATTTCAGTGAAACCTGATTAGTCATGAAGACAAATGCAAAAAAGGTTGTGGTGCATGCAGTGAAATAATTTAAAAATTTGAGCAAGATTGAAGTGTTTGCCCAGCTGAGGTGGAATTAGTTGTTCATTTTGCAAGTATTTATACTGTAGAGATTGCATGAGTGTAGTAGGACTGGAATGCAGGGAAGTCAGCTGATTAGTAATAATAGGTATCAAATAGAGGGGGCTTTGCACATTCCAAGCACTGTGTAGATATTAAATAATTAATCATCCCAACATTCCTGGGAAGTAGGCCAGGAAGTACTTTTATCTGCATTCTTCACAGGGAGAAACAGACACAGAGGGCCTGATTCTGATCTCACAGTGTTGTGACTCCACTGACTCAGTAATGGACCTCAAAAGTGCATTCCTTAGTCCTAGCCCCATCCTCAGTCAACTACACCATGTTACGTCTCGGCATGTGCAATTGTGTGAAATATGAGTAGGGCTATGGACATACTAAGGCAATAAGTTCTAAGGCCTACGAAAGATTGCAGCTGCACATTTTATTAGCCTTGTTATATTCTATTTGAACGTTTGATTATTTTTTATACTCTGTTAAAAATAGTCTTGTGGAAATATGATGTAATTTTCTCCTTGTGCAAGTTTCACTGTCTTTAAAATCCTTTCAGATTTTGACTTGCATGAGGAGGGGTAGTGTAGAAGAGTTTTTAAGAATCATTATTTATGTCAGTTGAATTAACTTGCTCACTTATGTAAATAATACTGAGAGAACCCACAGAAATGCAGTGCATATCTATGGCAGACGTGAGCTCTTTTAAATATTTCTATGAATCACAATATATTGCACAAAAATCCTACAAGCAAAAGTTTAATGTGACGATCAGCTATAATAGATTAATGTTTGTATCAAAAATGAACACTTGACTGTGAGACTGAGGGGTTTTCCTCGCCATTTTCAAATGATATCCAGACTACTATTAATAGTTCTTGGGCTGCATATATTGTACTTACAATGTCTTCTTTTCTGTAGATCAGCGTCCCCACTCCAGTATTAGGACTGTCTGGCATGAAAAAAAAATCAAACAGTGAAGCTACCAACAAAGTCTCAAGACTTGATTCACCCTGTTGGTGCAAAGATATGCAAAGTACACTTCCCTGAGCCAGAAGGGGTTGCTATTACTACTACTGCCCTCCAAAGGGGATTTAACCAAGGAAAGAAAGTGTTAAGTTGCAGTGAGGGCTCCATAACAGCACCAGCAGTGAAGACTACCCAGGCATGTGGTGAATCAGCACATTCCACAGTTGACTTACCTGAAGGGAAGACCTCAGGCCACACAGCCCTATGTCCCTATGCAACCCACCTCTACCCCCACCTGGTGGTGTCTTCTTGAGTCGAAGTGCTAATGTTCTGTTAAATTCCTGTAGCACTCCTTGCTGCTCATTCCAACAGTTATTATATCTCCTGGTATCTCAGAAAAAGCATAAAAAATACTACCTCCACCTGAGAAAGCAAGTCATAATGGTTTCTGCTAAGCCTTCTGACTACACAAGGTGAACTCATCCACTCAGTGAACCAAAACCAATACAATATGACCCTGGGGTTTTTCGCCTTTCTCTGCAGCATGGGGCATGGTTTGCTGGTTTAAACTAGTATAACTTGAAGTATTTAAATCATTATTTGAGGATTTGGTAACTCAGCCAGAGGTTAGGAGTCTATTACTGGAGGGATGGGTGAGGTTCTGTGGTCTGCAATGTGCAGGAGGTCAGACTAGGTGATCATGACTGTCCCTACTGGCCTTAAAGTCTATGAGTATGACCAATCACAACCCAGCTTGAAATGCAAGAAAAGTAATATGGAATACTGTCCCAGAATTGCTTTTAAACTGTTATAAAATTGCTCCAAATTCGCAAATGTTTAATGAACTAAAAACCAGGCAAATCTGATTAAAAAATATATTTTGGACCAATATGTCCGACATCTTGTGTGAGCGCACAAGAGTGGGAGCAAAAGAGCGGGCAAGGGACCAGCCATAACTGTAGTGTCTGCTTTCAGAGCACAAGGATGACTGTCTAACAGCACCCCCTGAGGTGCTAGAAACCACAAAGGGGTGGGGGTGAAGGTAGGGTCATGTCCCTGCTGGCTAGTCAGAGATAAAATGTGAGCCATCCTCCTAGAGGTTAGTGAAATGGATGTTATTCCCTTGCTCACCATGGACCTCTAGGAAGCATTGTGCTTCTTTGGAGCATAATTCTGCATGGAATTCTTGGTAGTGCAGTGTGGCTCTTCACCAAATGCAAGCTGGTCTAGGGTTAAAGGTGCAATCTGGTCCTTTGTTATGGATATTTTTGCCGATCTCTACTACCAGCCTTGAAAGTATCTTTTTCAGATGACCTGTATTGGTTCTGTAATATTGAGGTATAATTAATTTAATCTGGTCTGCATACCACAGGCTAATTTGCTAACATAGGCGATACCACTGTGATATTTCACCTCTAATGTAGCAAGTTAGCTAAACGTATGCACAACTTCCTTGAAAGTCATTACCGTGAATAAGGTCACAGAACTCAGTGTTACAGATTCATAGCTGCTTCCTATATCACGTATTAAATACATATAATTCTTTTCTACCCAGGACTCTAAATCCTGAACCCATATCTTTCCTATACCATATTACTTACTGACTTTACCTTAATACTAATCATTCACTTACCATTTCTGGCTGCTAGTAAGTTACAGAGCTGCAATGCATGAATATACTTGGGTTCTCTTTGAATGGCATGTTTATCCTCTTGAAAATTATTTTCCTTTATTTCAGTATCAATGCCACCTGCCAGTGTCTGAAAAGATTGGATTGCTTTAACAATATCATCTCTGTATGATTCCTGGAATACTTTATCTTTTGTAATATGCGCCAGGTTAAGTATTTCTAAAAGTTTAGGTGATCGTTTATGATCATATACAGAGGTAATTGGAGTGGTGTTCTTAGTATCTGGTGGTGATCCTGTTCGTGGAAAAATCCTTTGCTTCACCGTTTCAACATCTAATATTGGTATGTAGACTGCTGCAGTGATATAGCTTTCCCTAAAGATGTTATCAACATGTTCAGCTTCCATTTCAATGTTTTTCAGATTTACTTCTGTTGTTTGTATTTCAAGATTAGGCCAGTAATACACTTGAGAAACTTGAGCTGTATGAAGAGAAATATATGCAAGATAATATTTAAAAAGAAATATAATAAAGTGGACACACCTTCTTAATTAGTAAAATTAAAGCAGTACTGGAAGTAATTATATTTGTTATAGTTTTTCCATGTATTATTATTTATTATTCATGAGAACAGCAGTGTGAGGCAGTTACGGTTAATACACACAATGGGGTCCTGATCCATGACTAGTGTTCCTAGGTGCTACCACACTACAAATAAATAATAATAATAATCACCCTCTATGTACTGCACCAACTACACAAACATGAAAAATGAGACATTAACAGCTATGTCATTAACAATCTACATCTACCTATTAATCTCAGACATAATACATCCTCTTCACTGAACACATTCAATAAATTGATAACATAGCTCAATCAACAATAAAACAGAAATTTCACCCTTGGAGCAAAACGAATTATTATTAATAGAAATTTTAAAAATTTACATCTTTTGAATTACATATATAATATGAAGCCAGGTACTTATTTTGTCATATTTATTTTAAGAGCTTTGTTGCCACTGTAAATGGAAATCTCAATACAACCCTAAAGACGGAACTGCCCACACATATAAATAATCCATTTTAATGCTCACATAAAGGTACATTTTAAAATTAAATTTCACCACTATAAATCTTAGAAACATAACTCATTTAAAATTCAGCTTAGTCAAGTAGATCTTGATGTTTCTATTTGTTTATAATGTGATCACTTAACTGTGCCTGGACTAAGGATATAAATGATTCCTTTCTATTTAGCAAGGTGTTACCATATTACAGAGTGAATCTCTTTACACCATCCAGGAAGCATTGTTTCAGGTAATGTGATTAAACTGAGTGAAACTACAGACTACTCATATTTATCAAACCACGTGTAACTATCAAATGCTAATATTCAAAAATATTAAACTGATTCTATATGGTTTTGGGTTTTGTTGTTGTTGATCAATTTTTGTTTGTTTGTTTGTTTGTTTTTTGCAGGCAAATGTACTTTGAGTATTGAATAAATGGTAACCAAATATCTATTTGTCTTCTGCCTTTTTTGCTGGGCATAATTGGTACATTAATTTTTCCATAGCAACACCCTCCCTTAACTTTTTAGAATTATTCCTCTAGCTTTGTATTATTTTTCTTTTTCCAGTCAGAGGTTATCAGTAGTCTAGCAGCTGCGACCACGTGAGAGATGAATTTTCATTTCTTTGAGTGTGACCATTTCTTCTAGGAAGCCCCAGAAGGCTTGCCAAAGGATCATTTGGTAATAATATCCAACTATTATCAGGTTACAAATTGCATCCTAATACTCTCTAATGACTGGACATGTCCACCATATATGCATAAAATCCTTCTGTCACCACAATGTCTACAACATTTATTCCCATACAATCTCTCTCTATTTTTAACCTGACTGGAAACGTTAAAAAAAAAAGAAAAGAAAGACAACACTTTCCTAACCTGAGCCTCCAGCAGGCCACCTCTGGTCAGAGTTAAGGTTGCAATTTCTGTTTTAATTTGACTCATTTTCAATAAGAGGATTGTGGTATGAAAGTTTATTGCGGAGGACAGGATGACTTAGGATGACTTACCTCTCTAGCTAAACCACCACTCAACAATGGGATGAGTTATACAGCAGAAGGCAGGAGGGAATGGGAAAAGAGTAGAGAGGGAAAGGAAGTAACCCTGGACATCACTATTTTATCAACCTGTGACTCTTTCACAGGTATGATGCCAGTTAGTTACAAGTATTGTATCTCTGATACTCACCTTGAATCAAAAGTTTTGCGCAACTGATGCAAGGCATTCGAGACAGGTAAACTTCACAGCCCCTCAGTGCATTTGGAAATCTTAACAATGCTTTTGGCACCGCATGAAGATCTTCAGTGGAGCAGTCCATTGTGATAATCCTTTTCGGTTTGTTAGCTTCACAGATGACAATTCCAGTTTTGAAAAACTACAAAAAAATGCTTTTACAATATCTTTAAAACAAACAAAAGGAAATATTTCTTCACACAACACACGGTCAACCTGCGGAACTCTTTGCCAGAGGATGTTGTGAAGGCCAAGACTATAACAGGGTTCAAAAAAGAACTAGATAAATTCATGGAGGATAGGTCCATCAATGACTATTAGCCAGGATGGGCAGGAATGGTGTCCCTAGCTTCTGTTTGCCAGAAGCTGAGAATGGGCAACAGGGAATGGATCACTTGATGATAACCTGTTCTGTTCATTTCCTCTGGGGTACCTGGCATTGGCTACTGTCGGAAGACAGGAACTGGGCTAGATGGACCTTTGGTCTGACCCAGTACGGCCGTTCTTATGTTTAAACCTGCCAATTAAAACAGGGGATGGAAATATCCATTTCACCAAAGCAGACTGCTTGCAACACTTCCTTCTGAGTGAGGGCATGTGCAGCCAGCTAAGCAGAACACAGAAAACGTTTTGGGGATTGACTGGGAAGGCGGTGGGTCTAATGCACTCAGGAGATCTGCTGATTCAGTGCATCTCCGGGGAAATCTCTGTTAGGGCTTGTCTTCACTGAAACAGTTAGTTCTAGTATACTCAAATTACTGCACTCGAGTTTGCCTAGTTTAAGTGCAAGCGACCACATTTCAAAACAACACTAGAGTTACACCAAGTGATCTGATTAGCAGTGCAGATAATTGGATTAGCTACTGATGCGTTATTATAACTCAAGGGGTTGCACCCCCACTGCATTACTAGTTTGAGCCTCACTCCAGCATCACTTGAGCTTCAACCCACCATTAGCTAGATACACCAGCTAGTTTGATCTTAAAGCACCACTTAACGCAAGCAAGAGCCTGGTGTGTGAATGGGAGTCAAGTTAGGGGTATCACTCAAGTTATAACTCAAGCTAAATGTGCTGTGAAGACACACCCTCAACGAGGCTCCTAGGAAGTCCTAGCTAGAATTATGCTTGCTCCCCAGGGTGAATCACATGCAGGAATGTAAAAGTTGTATGACTGACTACCTTCCAATATGGTGAACCCTCCCCCAGAGCAACTGTCCCTTGAGATGCAATTTACATCCTCTGCAACTGCAGGGATGAAACAAGCAAAATAATTTCACTGCAGGACCAAACAGGAAAATATTGGCTAAGAAACAATATTTTAAACAGAGGTAAGTGTATCTAATATTTAATAACAATTGTAGAAAAAGTTATGAGATTAAAAATATAGGTAAGAATTATATATTTTAGTATTACTTATTTTAACGCTTTCTTCAGTATGAAAGTCTTGCTTTTATATTTCTGTCCTTGAAAACTAAGGCTGACTACGCTACAAACTTAAGTCTTCCATGAGCCAAATGTTAGCATATATATCATTGGTATTATTTAACATTTATATTGCTGTAGTACCCAAAGACCTCAACAAAGTTGAGCTCCACTGCACCAGGCACTGTGTGAACATATAACACATGCAAATCCCTAGTCCAAAGAGCTTATCCTGGACATTTTTAATAAGGAGAATTAGTGAGAAGGAAGGAAAATAGTCCTTCTGTCTGGAAATTCTTCTCCAGATAGACACACAGATCCATCAATATCCAAAAGGATAGATGGGAATTGCAATAATTTAGTACTAATATAACCAAACTATCCTGCTTACTACTCCTAGTTCTGCAGCGCTATGTTAAACAATATCAGAACATCCTAGACAACATCACATAAAGAATTCCTGATTTCGGGGGGGCTGAATTCTGTGCTTGTGAAAATGAGGAACTATCAGAGTTGGCTTGAGGCAGACACTTTCTCTGCAAGCACAAGTGACAGTGTGCTTCAACTCCAACCTGCAAAATCTCTGCTCATCTGGTCCTGAACCACTTTAAAACAGACACTATCAGCTGTGCTGTGTGCTTGTTTTAGGATATACCAAATCTGGACTATGATGAGATCATGTAAGACTAAACATTACATGACCATGTGAAAACACTAAGATTTGGAAACCACTTCACCCATATGAAATCTTTAAAAGTATCACAACATTATTTGGTAAAGGCTATTCCACCACTGTTGGCTGGCGTAGGGACCGAGTATTTATGCAGTTTGGAAAAATAAAAGGAGTTTTTGATTTATCAGAACGTCTTGGACATTTTGCATATTTAGGTTAAAATCCTAACTAGTCAAAATCATAATCAGCAATATGTAACAGTCAAAATCCTAATTAATATCATGGCCTCTCTTATTCTGCATAATATATCCTGAATTCACTCAACTCACTTTTGTTTCTTTTTGTTTGTTACGCACATATTTACAACTTGGCTCTTGACAGTTTGGTGAATTTTCCATATGGAGTGCTAAGAAGATGCACAGGTCTTCTTTATTTGGTAGACGAGGAGGAGGACCTGAAGAAAAAAGTGGAATTAGAAGCTAGCTCATCAAAACAAGCATGGAGCAAAAGCAGCAAATGGAGTAAATGTAAAATAGCCAATGGGACTGAGCTACAGAGAATAATTCCCAAATTATGCAGTCTCCGGTTAAAATGAACACTGCTGTACCTTTCATTTCTATGTGTATTAAAATAAAGAACTATATCCTAAAACCACATTAAAATTTGGTCTACCTGACCTTCTGTGAGGATCCTTATTCTTGAACTTTCCTAATCCCGAGACCAATCTGTGCCTCTTCAGTCCCTGCTGTAAATTACACTGGCCATTCCACCAGCTGGGTATTGCCAATGTGCAATGATACCCTAGTCTTGCTCCCTTCTCTGGCTACTCCGCCTGTATCTGTTGAAGGGAGAGTAATTCCTATGCCTGCCCCTTCCTTTGGCTGCCACAAGGAGTGACTTCCATTGACTTCAACCGATTTTGTATCAGGCCTAAACAAGATATCCTATACCTGGGACAGCCTTTTCTCACTCACTCAACTTCACGTTCCTCTCCAAAACTCATTTATTTCAGCTAGCATACTGCCATTTATCTTCTCTTTGATGCTATATGTCCTTCTCTGTTACCTGAACATTATTTAAATAAATAACTCATAATTAATACAAATAATATAAAATAAGACAATTTATACAATCAGCTTTACTTAAAAACAACACTCTCCCAAAATATATATTCCCTTCCCATCCATTACTGTTGTGTTTATCCCCCTCCCCACAATGATCTGTTATCACTATCCATTATGTTACCTGTGTATTTTAGGTTGTAAGATCCCAGGGACTTTACGTCCGTACATGTCTGTAAAGCACCAGTGGCACAGCAGTAGTGCTGTACAAATAACAACCCATACTATCAGGACAATAACTTTATTTCTATTATTATAGGAAGAGAGGCCCAGAAGTGGAATAGCATGGAAATTTCAAATTAAGACTGAGGTATGTTGCCGGAGATGGATGTTAGAAGTATGCAAATTGCCTGCACGCACCATGGCTCATGACTTTCAGAACAATTAAATGTATTCAAACATCTTAAAGAAAAAAGAATTATGTAAACCAAGAAATAAGAATACATGAGCAAGTTTGATGAATATATAGTTTTTGCCTTTATCATTCTTTCTTTCTGTTTCCTCTCCATCTCTTTTTTCTGAATTCTCTGTTTGCTTACTGAAGGGGGAAGCTGGAAGATAAAAGAAAAAGAAAAAAAGTTTAAATCAGGAATGATGTATCAGATTTGCTCTGATGAGGTTTAGTAATGGATGGGATCCCATCTATTACCATGAATGGCACCAGATCCCTGCTCACTACAAAAGGGAGCAGGTGGGGTATCTCAGGATCAGTTTACTACTATATTTGATAAACAAGACATTAAAATCCGGTTGATATTTGGATCCAAAAGGTCCTTGTATCCAGGCAAAATTCAGATTTGTCAAAGCTTATCATGAAAAAATCAAGACAAAAATGTGAACCATAGTACAAGATGCAGGGGAGTGAGATCATCATCGTCACTGCACAGAAAAGACCTTAGACAGACCAAGTCATCCTCAAAGGATCATAGTGGGAGCCTTGAACTTCTCCTATCCCAATCTTGTCAATTCTAGCTCCTCTATCCTCCCCCTTGTCAGTCATTTTCTTCTTTTGAACAACAACCCAGCCAACTCTTTTTACTTTTCCCTCTCCATACTGCTGCTGTCTATTGACCAGTTAACTCCCCTTCATCCACCTTCCCCTCTGACTTCAACTCCTGGCTTTCATTCCTCCTCACACTGGAATCCCCTACCCTCATCTTTGGTTACTTTAATTTCCATACTCATGTCCCATCTCACCTTCCAGCATCCTGCCTCCTCGCCCTCACTTCTTTGTTTGATTTGCACCTATGGATCAACTCCCTTACTCATCAAAATGGCCAGTCTCTCTTCCTTTCCCCCCTTATCCCCAGTACATTCTCCTCCTGTCACAGACTGTGAAACACGGCCTGTCTTCCTTTGCCAACTTCTCTTCCTGCCCAAAGGACCCCATACCTTTATTATTCTAACCTCTCTTGCCCAGCTCTCATGCTGTCACCCCTTCTCTCACTCTTTTCAGCATCTCACTCTCATCAGTTTCCTTTCCCTCCCTATATAAACATACTTTTATCATCTTCTCCATCTTAAAATACTCGACCTTTCTCCTGCTCATACTATTACCCAACATCTCTTCTTCCCTTCATCTCCAGATACACTGACCATGCTGTCCACAACTGCTGTCTGGAGCTTCTTTCTTCCAATTCCATTCTTGGTTCTTCTCAAGTCTGGTTTCCACCCTCATAAAAGGCAACAGGACTTAGACTCTAAATATTTATGTCACTTTTGAAAATGGGACTTAGGCATTTTTTTATAATTTTAAGCATATTTCAGGATGTATGGTTGCTCTTGCTTAAATCAAAGGGACTACACTATAACAAGTATCATACCTAAGGAAGACTGTGTATTCTTAGAATAGGCATACACTATCCTCATTTATATTTTATTGGTATTCTAACTCTAATAAACAAAGTTTTATGTAAGACAATTTTAGTATTGGCTCTTATTTTATAATAAGGGGCCTGATTCATTCCATTACCCTAGTGTTACTCCACTGACATCAGTGGATTTATATACCAGCATAAAATGGATGTAGTAGGCTGAAGAATCAAGCCTAAGGAATCCAAACTGTTCTCAGATAAAAGAAAAACAAAATGCAGGATTCTGATCAGCTTATTTAGCGCCAGAGGAAACCACCTAAACACACATCAAAGGCATGGGAATTAGAAGCCTATGTCCAAAATGAAATTTTCATTTCATATTCATTTGAGTCACAAAGAAAGACTAAAGACCAAAAGGGATGCCAAAGACTGGTGACTGAAAGACACCTGCAGTTTTGTAAATTTATTATTCATTTTGCACATTCCTACAGCTAATCTAAGGCCCATTAACACATGCAGAAAACGGGGCCACTTATGGTGCAGAGAGCAGGATTCTTGTACATGTCAGCCTGTTGTTCAGTCAGAAGTATTAAACCAGCAAGTAGAGTGGTAGGATGCAGATATTTGAATTGTATGGCCCTGAATCAAAATAGAGATAAGAGGTCTAAGTTAAGGACTCACAACTGAAAATTGTGTTTGTTATATAAAAGGGCCTATTCCAATATGTTATGACATGCCAGAAGTGTTTTTAAATAAATTGAGTAATAATAAAATACCAAATTTAGCAACCTTAAGACACAATGTTCAACTGTATGTAGTTATCTTACCAGAACATTCCGCATATTGAGGTTTCCACTGTTGAAAAACAGAAGGAATTTATGCAAAGCACAGTCCCAAATAATTTTTTTGCATAGCTCTTTTTCTGAGCACAGCTGCCTTTATTCATCCTAGCTATTCACTAGATCTGTCGAGGGAATTTCTTGGGAGATCAGACAATTCCAGGTACCTTTACCCAAACCTACATCCCATCTGTGTCATTATTTCATTCCTAAAACTCTCAGTCTATTGGGGCAAGGCAAACTCCAGGTCAAAAAGCTACCTTTATATCAAAATTTGTCTAATTCATCACTACCTCTGTCTCTCCCATTTCTCTTTCCTCCCCCAAACTCTGATCCTTTTACCTCTATCAAACATGTTTAATAAATCTTAATTCTTTAAGTGACATTGTTTTCCTCCTCTGGTGCTACTCCTGACATTTCTTCTTGTTGGTGCTTTGTTTCCCACTCTATCCCTGACAGGATGACTCCCAAACCCAAATAAGCTTTCAAGAAAGCCACCAAACACCTCTGTTGTGAACACTAGTGTGAATACATATTTACTTAAGTATGGTCCACTGTTTCTTGTTTGGTGAACTTTCTTACAAACCAAAATTGGCTTAGGTAAACATTTAAAAAAAGAAAACTGAAGTGGTCTTGAGCAACATCAAAGTGAACTTGATTTTATTAAATGAATGTTTGTGAATACTTTTTTGCAACATTTTCCTTGCTCTATACTCCTCAATAAGGATACATACCTGATAATATTCAAAGTTGCTCTTTAAAGAGCCTGTGGAGTCCTGAAAATGAAAAAAAAAAAACCTTTTTAAAAATACAAATATATCTCTGGCTGATAGAAAAATGTGGTCTTATTTGTGAATATTCTTTCCAGAATTCTCCAGGTCTGGTAGTCTTTACAATATGCATATTCTCATTTCTCCTGTTAACTGGAGGCAGACCAGGTATCTGGATGTAAGCCAGGCTTAGGACAACCCCCCACAAAGAATACTCCAGAACTATAGTTTCCAAAACTGAAAAATACTAACTATATAAAAGTTACCAAGTCAACTCAAGCCATTTGCAATAGAGCCAAGGAAAGAAACATAAGTATTTCCTTGAAGGAAATGGTCCTCCATTTCAAGTTACTCAGCAAGTGAGTAATGGCCAGAAAAACTCTGGACACAATACAATGCTCCAAGGGAAGGCCAGACTGTCAAATATGGAAGGTTCAAGAAAGCACATTCACATGCATGATCAAATTTTCAGTTCTCTGTTTTCCTTGTGTCCAACAGTCTTTAAAGTGAGATGTAGAAAGCACTTGGAAAGTTTAGTAAGCTAGAGCAGCCACGGGACTTTTACTCTGCTGCAGCAGTGTGCACACAGGATGTCACACTGCACAGCAAAACTAGTGCGCAGCAGAGTCACACTCTAGCTTGCCACACAGTAATGTCATGTGTAAACAAGCCAGAAGTCTACTCCTCTCAAGTCTCTGAAATGGAGTTAAGTTGAATTTCTGCACGTTCACTTTTAGGCCCAGGTTCTGGAACAGGTAATGGCATAACTATGGCATCTGATACCTGATGAGGAGTTCTTCCTTGAACTAGACAGTTGTCCAGGGAAGGATTTTTTCTTAGATGTGCAGTGATGACTGTTAAAACCTTGCTAAAAGCCCTCAGTGCAGTCGATAGTTAGAAGGCCTACCACAAACCTTACATACCTCCTGTGCTATGGAATTATGAATCATAGAATCATAGAATATCAGGGTTGGAAGGGACCTCAGGAGGTCATCTAGTCCAACCCCCTGCTCAAAAGCAGGACCCATCCCCAATTAAATCATCCCAGCCAGGGCTTTGTCAAGCCTGACCTTAAAAACTTCTAAGGAAGGAGATTCCACCACCTCCCTAGGCAACGCATTCCAGTGTTTCACCACCCTCTTAGTGAAAAAGTTTTTCCTAATATTCAACCTAAACCTCCCCCACTGCAACTTGAGACCATTACTCCTTGTCCTGTCCTCTTCCACCACTGAGAATAGTCTAGAACCATCCTCTCTGGAACCACTTCTCAGGTAGTTGAAAGCAGCTATCAAATCCCCCCTCATTCTTCTCTTCCGCAGACTAAACAATCCCAGTTCCCTCAGCCTCTCCTCATAAGTCATGTGTTCCAGATCCCTAATCATTTTTGTTGCCCTTCGCTGGACTCTCTCCAATTTATCCACATCCTTCTTGTAGTGTGGGGCCCAAAACTGGACACAGTACTCCAGATGAGGCCTCACCAATGTCGAATAGAGGGGGATGATCACGTCCCTCGATCTGCTCACTATGCCCCTACTTATACATCCCCAAATGCCATTGGCCTTCTTGGCAACAAGGGCACACTGTTGACTCATATCCAGCTTCTCGTCCACTGTCACCCCTAGGTCCTTTTCCGCAGAACTGCTGCCTAGCCATTCGGTCCCTAGTCTGTAGCTGTGCATTGGGTTCTTCTGTCCTAAGTGCAGGACCCTGCACTTATCCTTATTGAACCTCATCAGATTTCTTTTGGCCCAATCCTCCAATTTGTCTAGGTCCCTCTGTATCCTATCCCTGCCCTCCAGCGTATCTACCACTCCTCCCAGTTTAGTATCATCCGCAAATTTGCTGAGAGTGCAATCCACACCATCCTCCAGATCATTTATGAAGATATTGAACAAAACCGGCCCCAGGACCGACCCCATATGGATATGGACATTTTGGAAATCAAGAGATGCAAACTAGTACCCTGGATACAGAGAGGGAATTATCCTGGACTTCAAACTTGCATATGAATGTATTGAGCTTTCTTACGTCCCAGATGGGTCACCATCCTTCTTTCCTCTTTGGAATAAGGAAGTATTTGCTGTAGAATGCTTTTGCTGGTAATTTAAAGGTACCCCTTCTATTACTCCAAGAGAAAGAAGTGAGAGGACCTCCTGGTGTAATAGGTCCTCATGAGATGGGTCCCTGAAAAGGGCCAGGGAAGGTGGGATGGGAATAGGCACAGTGTGAAATTGGATAGACTATCCTGTTGTAATCATATCATGACCCATTGGTCTGGGGGTTATGGAGGACCAGGCATACCTGAAAAGAGGCAAATGGTCACAAAGGAAGGGTCAGTGGCTCTGGATCCAAAGGGGTAAGGTGCATGTCTTGACAGTCTTATCAAAATGAATATTTTGGCTCCAATGCAGACTGTGATAAGTAGGCTTCAGAGGTACCCTATCTTCTCTGATGGTAATGCTACCACTAGAAGGCTCAGTCGATCTTTGGTGAAAGAAAGAAGGTGGAGCTGAGCTCTGTGGGGCATAAAATTGCTGCCTGATGGCTTTTTCCTTTAGGGGCAGGTTTATAGAACCCGAGAGAGCTAAGAGTCACGATAGAATCTTTCACTGTATGATGGGCTCCACCTGTTTTAGAGGTGAACAACTCTGATCCTTGAAAGGACAAATCCTCTGCTGTAGACTGAACCTCCTGACAGTAGCCAGACCCCTACAGCCAAGATGCCACTCTCATCATGACTGCGGTGGCCATCAATTGTGAAGTGGTGTCTGCTGCATCCAAAGCAGCCTGAAGGATGGTTCTGGCAATCAGCTGTCCTTCATTTACGTTCTTTCCCTTGCATCTGGAGGCAATTTGCCCTGAATGCTGCAAATTTCTCATAGTTCAAATAATCATATCTGGCCATGAGGGCCTGATCATTTGCAATCCTAAAGTGTAAAGTAGCCAACTAATATGATTTATGGCCAAATAAATCCAGTGTTAAGTGATCACGTTCTTTTGGTGTAGTCTTATTTTGCAGATGTGACTTTTCATCAGCAGCTGTCACTACCAATGACCCAGCTGAAGAAAATTGTTGATGCCTGCGACCCAACGGAGCTGGGGATGAGGGGCTTGGGGTGTGGGAGGGGACTCTGGGTTTGTGGGGGGCTCAGAACTGGGGCAGGGGGTTGGGGTGGGTCAGGGCTCTGGGCTGGGGGTGCAGGTTCTGGAGTGGGGCTGGGAATGAGGAGTTTGGGGTACAGGAAAGGGCTCCGGGTTTGAGGGAGGGCTCAGGGCAGGGGATTGGGGCACAGGGTTACTTCCGGTGGCTCCCAGTCAGCAGTGTAGCCGGGGTGCAGAGGCAGGCTTCCCACCTATCCTGGCACCACGGACCGCGCTGCACCCCAGAAGTGGCCAGCAGCAGGTCCGGAAGGTTTAGAGCAATTTCCTCTTCAATGCTCTAGGGGAGAGCTGCACCAAGGAAGTTGAAGCAGTTGACCTGCTCGGAGACAACTGTACGCAGGGTTGGGGTGGGGGGGCCCTGGCTGAGGTCAGAAGCCAGTCAGAGCAAACTCTCCATCATAAGCAGATGTAGTTTAAGTTTCCAGTTCATTCTGGCCTTCAATTTTAATTTCAGGCAGAAATTACACTTTTGGGAAACATATAACTCCCCAAGGCAATGGATGCTGATCAGTATAGCCTCTCAGCCCAAAAGCAACATTTAAACCCAGATAAACTGGGCATACCCTCCTAGGGCTTCAATTCCCCTGATGCGAAAAAACAAAGAAAAATAGATGGAGGAACAATGGTCCTTATCCTAAAAGTATAAGTAAAATCTTTTATTTTAAAGATTTTTTGTTTACTTTTTTTTACAAATTTAAACTATAAAAATTACTACAGCTAACTAACACAAAGGAAACTCTAAGAACTAATGTTAACTAACTATTAACAATGAAAGAAAAATACAGTTGAGGTAAACTCAACTCAGACGCTGTTGAGGCTCCATCTCAGGCCACAGCAATTGAGAAGGAACTGAGGACAGTTCGCTTGGGCACCTCTATATAGCGTCGGTGCAGGGCACAAGGCTGCAGGGGATGCATGTGTAGACCTAACGGACACTGCTACCTAAAATCTCTGATCTGGGGTGCAGGCACACCTACAGTGGAGCACCCATAGGGACACTACTCAATGAAGAATCGCAGGATACATGCGCAGCGATAGCAGATGCTGCTGTCCAAAAGACTCTGAATTTGAGCACTCATGAACCTTTAATGGAATGATCATATAGATAGTCACTTGAAAGAGAACTCCTTGTGCTTCAATGATCCTAGGCCAGTGAGCCATACTGATGGATCTGAAAATATACATGGTCTGACAGAGTGAATGTCAAAGTAGACAAAAGCATGGGAAGTGGAAGAAAGAAAGATGAGCTCAGCTAGGGAGGCTTTTGCTATCAATCCCTAAGATTAAACTGCAGGAGGCTGTACTTTCTCAATGGAGAGGGTCCTAGAATATAGTATTTACTCCCTTTTGGCTCCAGAAAAGTCTGGATTTAAAGGCTTTCAGGGCACAGTGAAAGCTATATTGTTTCAGGCATGCATTTGTATAATTATGAACGTTGAAGTATGTTGAAGGTGTTTTGTATAGTGAAGGTTCCTCTACTACATGATGCAGGCATGTATAGATGCTTAGGGTCTTTTAAATTGAGTACGTTGATTATAACCTGATTGAACACCAAATGAATGTATAAATAAATAATTAAAATAAGGTAATTGCATTACATTAGCTTACTTGTTGGTTTGATGACGATTGTGTTGATTCTTGTACAGAAACAATTTTCTTTATGCCCACAAACTGTATATAGTTCTGACATTCAGAGCAGGGAGGTTTCGTGCAATAAAGAACATCGTTCTCTTCTATTTTTTTTCTGGATCTGAAAAAGATAAAGTAGCAGCATTTATTCTCTGCAAAAGCAAAACAAGAGATCATGGTGAGGTGTCTCTCAAATAAATCCTAGGATTTTCCCTGAAGAACCTTATTTATTGTTAGTTCTCCCTGTCCCAGATTTCCCATCTCACTTTATTTCTGCCTTTGAGCTTCCCATCATTATACATACACATTTACACTTATTATTTACAACAGTAAAATATTTATGTCTTAACTGAAACCATTTCAATCTTGTTGGAGTATTCTGTCTTTTCTCTACAGAGAAAATGGCCATAAACTGGCTGCTAGGCCAGTTATAACTACCATCTTTCCCTCAACCGCTGGATGTATAGTCTTCTTGTACTCTCAGTGTGCTCTCAGCTGTGAATAAAAAGTAACTTCACTGAAAATGGAGTTGGAGCAATGTAGTCTAGTGGAAGGGAAGCCAGGAAATTTGGATTTTAGTCCTGGTCTTAACACTGCTTCCCTTTGTGGTCTTGGGTAAGTCACACAAACTCTATCTGTACCGGTTTCCCCATCTGTAAAATGAGGATAATATCTGCCTTCTTCACAGGAATGTTACTGATTAATTAATTAATGCCCCAAAATAATTTTAAACAGTTATATGCTAAGTATTATTAATGGTAATTACAAACTTCAGTGTTTCAGAGTAGCAGCCATGTTCGTCTGTATTCGCAAAAAGAAAAGGAGGACTTGTGGCACCTTAGAGACTAACCAATTTATTTGAGCATAAGCTTTCGTGAGCTACAGCTCACTTCATCTTCAGTGTAAAACAGCTGTGAGTTCACAATCAGGCTCATACTGCAGTACTGGGAATACTGTTATTTAATTTTTGCATATTTTAAAGGAATGTGAAAATGAAATGACAGTGAACATTTTCAACCTGGCCAGGGAATGCTGTAGGTTGGAGAGGAAAGAGCAGTCTGCTGGATTCAGGGTTACTAGCTAGAAGAAAGGTTTACTCACCTTGTGCAGTAACTGTGGCTCTTCAAGATGTGTGTCCCTATGGGTGGTCCACTTCAGGCACATATGCACCTTTCAAACCCTTGATCGCAGATTTTCTGTACGCAGTGTCCACTCAGACCGTGGAAGCATTCTATACAACCTCGTGCCACACTCAGAGGGTACAGAGGGCTGCATGGGTGAACTGCCCTCCGTTCCTTCTCTATCCCAACACGCAACAAGAACAGTCCAAAGCAGAGGGGAAGGAGGGCAGGTAGTGGAGCACCCATAGGGGGACACAGCTTGAAGAACCACAGTTACCGCACAAAGTGAGTAGCCTTTTCTTCTTCAAGTAGTGTCCCTATGGGTGCTCCATTTCAGGTGACTCCTGAGCAGTATTTTCACAGGGAGCTTCAGAATCAAGTCCAACACTGAAGACAACACAGCAGAACCAAGTTCTGCATCAGATCTGATGGCGTGGACCAAGGCGTAGTGTTTAGAAAAGGTGTTCACGGAAACCCATGTAGCAGATCTGCACATCTGAGGCATTTGGATGTTTTTGAGTCACACTGTGGAAATTGCTTGTGATCTGGTAGAGTATGCTGTAATCCTTTGAGGGAGCAAAACACCAGCTACACCATAATAAGCAGTAATACACCCAGAGATCCATCTCAACAGTGTCTGTGAAGAGATCATAGGTTCTTTTGATCCTTCCACAATGGAGACAAAGTGTCTCAGTGATTTCCAAAACTGCATGGTCCATCCAGATAAAGGGTCAATGCCTGTCTAACATATGCCTGTCTAACATACAAAGGGAAGTCTCTCACTGAGATTTATGTGGTTTAGGGAAAAATACCAGTAGATTAATAGACTGATTAAGATGAAAATCCAACAGCACCTACCTTTGGGTGTGGTTGCAGGGAGACCTTGTCCTTGAAAAATACTGTAAATGGGTCAAGGCTTCCATTTCTCCAGCTGACATGATAGCTTCTAGAAAGGCCATCTTCATAGATAAGTGAAGCAAGGAGCAGGTTGCCATAGGTTCAAACAGAGGTCTCAAAAGGCATCTAAGTACCAGGTTGAGATCCCAAGTCAGAATACAGATTCCCAGACCCTTAATAAATCTTAAGGACAGAGGATGTGCAAAAACAGAATAGCCCTCTAGTGGGGAATGAAAAGCTGATATTGCAGCAAGGAGAATCTTAATGGAACTAACTGATAAATCCGATTTTTTTTAAGTCGAGCAGATAATTCAAGATGGCTGAAAGCAGAGAAGATTCAGACACAAGGCAGTGCTGGTGACACCAGTGATTGAAGCTCTTCCATTTCTGAAGATAAACAATTCAAGTTGACTCCCCTCTACTGTTTAATAATACTTGTTGTACTCCTATTGAGCAGGTGGATTCTAATCCCATGAGCCATCTAGGAGCCATGGTTGGAGACGGAGGACCCCTAGGTTGGGGTGAAGCACATGACCTGCTTCCTGGGAGAGGAGATGAGGGACATTTGAAAGATTGAACGGTGGTTGGATACACAGGTGAAGCAGATAAGGATACCAAACTTGCCTGAGCCAGGTCAGTACTATAAGGATAACTCTGGTTTTGTCCTGCCTGATCTTCCTCCTCACTTTTAGAATTAGCGGTGTTGGAAAGAATGTGTAGAATAGGCCGTTTGTCCAAGGAAGGAGAAAGGCATCTCTCAAAGAGAGGGGAACTTCCTGTTGCTGTATGTGGCCAATAGGTTCACCTGTGGAAGTCTCCACCTCTAGAATATCCAATGAAGGGTCTGAGAGTCCAACTCCCATTTGTATTTCTGGGAGAAGCATCTGCTGAGCATATTGACTGTGACATTCTGGACTCCAGGAAGGTAAAAGGCTGAGATCTGAATCTGATGGGTTATACACCAGTTCTGTAACTTTATCGCTTCAGCGCACGGGGAGGGGGAATCTTTCAGCTCTATTTGTTGATATAGAACATATAAGCTACATAGTCCATCATCATACTCTTTGATTTGCCTTTGATGAGGGGTAGGCATTGAAGGCAGGCAATTCTGACTGCCCTGAGTTCCAACAAGTTGATATGAAGACCAGTTTCCTGAGGTGACCAGGTGCCCTGAGTTGTGAGTATGTTACGGTGTGCTCCCCACACTAACAGCGAGGCATCCATTCTCACAGTTACTGTTGGAGCTGGGATGCCCGTGCAGACACTGCGTGATCTTTCCAGTAATCCAGGGAGTTCTTCACCTTGAAAAGAACTGTAACCAGTTTGTCCAAGCTGTTACTGGCAGAGTAATAGGTCCTCCTGAACCAGCCCTTGATAGCAGCAAAGACATAGGCCTGGTCTCCACTACACAGTTTAGATTGACATTAGCTGCCTTACGTCAACCTAATTATGTCAGTGTATACACTTCAGCCTTGCTCCCACCAGTGTAAGGGCTTGTCTACACTACCGCACGGGGTCGATCTAAGATACACAACTTCCACTACGTGAATTGTGTAGCCGAAGTCGATGTACTTAGATCTACTTACCGCCGTGTCTTCACTGCGGTAAGTTGACAGTTGACGCTCTCCCATTGACTCCGCTTGAGCTTCTCGTTCTGGTGGAGTCCTGGAGTTGACGGGAGAGTGCTTAGCAGTCAATGTATCGCGTCTAGACGCGATAAATCGACCCCCGCTGGATTGATTGCTGCCCGCCAATCCGGCGGGTAGTGTAGACAAACCCTAAGTGCCCTACTACACCGACATAATAACTCCACCTCCAAGAGAGGTGCGGTTATGTCGTTGTTGTTAGGGCGACACAGTGTCTGTGTAGATAGCAGGAGCTGTGAAATTGACAAGAAAGCTGGGCAGCTAGAGCCCAGCTGCCCTCTGCTCTCCTGGAGAGCTGGGCAGCTAGACCCCACTCCCAGCTGGGAACATTGGCTGTCTTGTCAATTTCGTGGCTCTGAGAAATTGACAAGGCTGCCCAGCTCCCAGCAGGGAGCAGACGGGGGAGAAGCTGAGGCAGCTGGACCCTGCTCTCTGGGGACAAGAAGCTCCAGGTAGCTTCCCCCTTGCTCCTGGCAGGGAATGGGGAGGTGAGAACCCCAGGGCAGCTTCCCCCCCCCCCCAGTGGGGAAAGGGGAGGTGAGACGCTCTGGGCGGCTTCCCTCACTCCCAGCGGGGAACAGGGAGGCGAGAGAAGGCAACGCATCAGGAGCTTCTGGCAGGGAGCTGCCTGTTGAGCTGAGACACTTGGCTCTCATCTCCCCACACTGCCCCTCTTAGGTCAGTGAAAGTGGTCCTGGTGAGCACACACACCACCAACCCAAGGAGGGTAGTGTGGACATGCACCACTGCAGTAATTACTGTGGTGGTTGTAAGTCAACTTAACATAGGTCAACTTATGTTTCTAGTGTAGACATGCCCATATTCTTGCATGCTTGATCCTAAAGGTGCAAGCTGCCATATGACTCAGGAGCTCCTAACAGTTCCTTACAGTAGTATGGGGACTTCCTTGAATTGTCCCGACCAGATTCGACAAAGTTATGAATCTGTCTGTGAAAAGGGAGGCCCTGGCTGCCAATGAATCCCAATATGCCCCTATGAATTGTATTCTCTGTGCAGGGACTAACTTGGACTTCTTTAGGTATAGCTGGAGACCCAAGTCCTGGAAGAGGAAGAGAGCTGTTTGGGTGGAAGTTAGTATTGCTTTGTAAGATCAGTCCTTGAGCAGCCAGTTGTCAAGCTACAAGAAAATTCAAGAAGACTAAAGTTGCTTCTCACTGAAGGTAAGCAGCCACTACCACTAAAACCTCTGAGAACACCCTTGAGGCCAAAGAGAGGCCAAAGGGAAGTACTCTGTATTGAAAAGGATCCTGGCCTATGGTGCACCACAGATATGTCCTATGTGCGGGATGTATTGCTATATGAAAATAGGCCTCCTGTAGGTTGAGGGCTGAAAACTAATTTCCTGCCTCTAGAGAAGGAATTATAGATGCCAGAGTCACCATCTGGAACTTCTGAGATTTTACAAATTTGTTCAGTTGTCTTAAATCTAAGGTCGCTCTCCACCTTCCATCCTTCTTTGGCACGAGAAAATACTTTGAGTAAAACTCTTTCCCCCTGTGAGGGGATGGATGGGACTGATTCTATTGCTCCTAATCAAAAGAGGGAGTGTACTTCTTCACTCAGTATTCTCTTATGAGAGGAGTCCCTGAAGAGGAACAGGGAAGGGGGGTTGGGCGAGACCTATAGTGGATGGTGTAGCCCAATGTTATAACCTCTCTGACCCACTTGCTTGTTGTAATATGCTGCCAAGCCTATTGGAAATGGGAAAGCAGTCTCCAAAAGTGGGAAGGTAGGCAAAAGGTTGCAGCTTGCAAACTAGAGCCGAGGGAGGAGTTGAGCCGTCAACTGAACTGTCAAAATTGCTGTTTTGATGATGACTGGGTGCTAGCTGAAGGTGGGACGCTCATTTCTGCTGAAATCTGTCTTTTTCTTGCAGGTTCGGTAGTTATGTGAAAACCAGAGAACTGAGCTGGCACAATCTCTGGGCAGTTTGAGACCTGCTAAATCTCCTCTTGTTTGGAGGGGTGTATACACCCAGAGATCTCAACGTGGGCCTGGAGTCCTTCAGCATGTGCAATGACTCATCTGTAGTTCCTGAGAAAAGTTTCTGACCATCAAATGGGATGTCCTCATCTGTATTCTGAGCCTCTCTCAGGAATCCTGACAACTGGAGCCATGATGCCCTGTGCATGTCAGCTCCTATGGAGATGGATCTAGCAGCAGCGTCTGTGGCATCCAAGGATGCTTGGAGAGAGGTTCTGGGTAATAACTGACACTCCTCAATGATGGCCTGGACATGTTCTCTATGCTCCTGTGGAAGATGTTTAATAAAGGATGTGAACTTGTAATTCGTATAGTCATAGTTGGCTATGATCGCCTGATAATTTGTGATCCAAAATTGGAGGGTTGCAGATCATTAGGCCTTCCATCCAAAAAGGTTTAACCTTTTATGGCCCTTGTTATGAGAAGTAGATCTGGAATAATGCTGTCTACTTTGCTCATTTACAGCATCCACCATCATGAAATAGGGTTGGGATAGGAAAACTAAAATTCTGAGTCCCTGAGAGGGAAGATAACATTTCTTATCCACCCATTTACAAGTTGATGATTTGGTGGCAGAAGTTTGCTACACAGTCTTTGCTGGATGCAGGAGCACTTCATTAACGTGTAGCGCAACCCAAGTGGATGTCACCGACTGCAAAATGTCCAGGAGCTTGTAATGTGAGCCTTTAATCTCCTCAAGAGATGTCTGGAGGGTGTCTGCCACCCCCTTCACAAGGTCTTGGAATTGACAAAAATCATTGGCTATCGATGGTGTGCAGGCATTACTGCCTCCTCCAGAGATGCAGACAAAATAGAGGCTTAAGGAACCTCTCTGTCTGCCCTAACTTCCTGTTCCTCAAAGGTCTCCTTACGTTGGGGGTTTGGTGCTGGAGACTATGTGACCCTAATTTCCTGGTGCAGTGGAGCTGGAGATCTGGCAAATTGCAGCTAATGTGCTGCCCAAGGATCCCAGTATGCCACTGGGGAGGCCCATGCTGGAGAGCAGGTGATACCCAAGACTGAGCCCACTAACCCTAACGTCAAAGCATGGGTTTCTTTAGTGATGTGAAATGGAACCCCACGCTGATAAGGAGGCAACTGATTGAATGTCTCTTTCATCCTCCTCATTGTCCTCCAAAGGGGGGGGCCCAGTAGAAAAGGGTGGAGAATCTTGCAGTACCAGGAAGCACCAGTAATGTGGAGATTGGGGTCTCAGTACTGAGAGTTGTTCAGTACCCATAAGCAATGGAGACTCTGACTCATCAAACACTTACAAGTCCCTGGAGTAATGGCATTCCTGTGGTACTGACTGGGTTAGCAATGATACAGCAGTTGACTAGGCAGTATCATTGGTTTGGAACCCACAGGTGTCGGGGCTGAAGGTATATGCTTTGATGTTGTCAGTACCAATGTGGAAAGGCACCACTGGTAAGTCTGAAATAGATGGTCCCAATCTTGAGGCGGATGGTACCTGGGTTCTGCCAGTGCCATGTTTCTCCAAAGTGTTCCACAATCTGATACCGGAAGAAGTCTTTAGCCTCCATGGGACTGAGTCAAAGGTTAAAGCCTCTGACACTGTAAAACCTGGCAGGAGTTTGGGACTTCTTGAGAGCTGCTCCTTGTGATGAGAGACTGAGTGCCTCTTCTTCAGTGCATTCCTTGAGTCCTCTGAGCTCCTCCCCTTCTTAGACAAGACCTTAGCCAAAGTCAAAAGGATACTGGATCCGTCTGGAGATAAATGTGTGGGACGGGAGTATCCTGACCTAACTCAAAGGGACTGCTCCATCAGCAGCAGCTTCAGTTTGGTCTCCTGATTCTTCCAAGCTCTAGATTTTAGAACCAGGCAAAAGTTACACTTTTGGGAGATGTGAGTTCTGGGCACTACATTTCAGAAAAGATGTGGACAAATTGGAGAAAGTCCAGAGAAGAGCAACAAAAAGGATTAAAGGTCTAGAAAACATGACCTAAGAAGGAAGATTGAAAAAATTGGGTTTGTATAGTCTGGAGAAGAGAAGACTGAGAGGGGACATGTAACAGTGTTCAAGTACATAAAAGGCTATTACAAGAAGGAGGGAGAAAAATTATTCTCCTTAATCCCTGAGGATAGAACAAGAAGAAATGGGCTTAAATTGCAGCAAGAGCAGTTTAGGTTGGACATGAGGAAAAACTTCCTGTCAGGGTGGTTAAGGACTGGAATAAATTGCCTAGGGGGGTTGTGGAATCTCCATCATGGGAGATGTTTAAAAGCAGGTTAGACAAACAACTGTCAGGGATGGTCTAGATAATACTTAGTCCTGCCATGAGTGCAGGGGACTGGACTAGATGACCTCTTGAGGTCCCCTTCCAGTCCTACGATTCTCTGTCTATAGTGTTGGAATCTCCTAAACTACAGATACACGTAGAGTGGCTGTCGCTGATCTCGATAGCCTCCCGATGAGAGAGGCAGAGTTTGAAACATGGGGAGCCAAGCATGCCCAGTCAGGCCAAATAATCTCCCCAGAAAAAGTGGGAGAGAAAAGGGAGGAGAGGAAAAACTGAAACCTCTCACAACTATCTAACTACTTCCATACTAGCAACAACTAATACTAATTAGAAACACTAAACTAACTAAATAACTACAAAACACGCTGAGGCACACATGAGGCAGACATACTAGAGCTCCTTCTCAAGCCAAGGTGATAGAGAAGGAACTGAGGGTGGTTCACCCACGCAGCCCTATATACCTTTGCAGCATAGCACAAGATTGTATAGAGTATACGCATGGGCTGAACGGACACTCCTAACGGAAAATTACCTATCAAGAGCAGGAGTGGCACATGCACACCTGAAGTGGAACACCTATAGAGACGCTACTCAAAGAAGAAGTGTCTGTTTTGAAGGGCAGGAGAGTTCTGGAATTCTAGTGTATCTGAACCTCAGCTAGCCTTAATCTGCTCCGAACACAGCTGCTTGCCTATTGCTAAGGCAGCAGCAATGCCAGCCAAAGCATCTTCTCTCCTTCTTCTCCAGTACCACAGTTAAGTGCCTGCACAGGGAATAGTGCCATTTGCTTGTTGCTAAGCAATGGAAGCAGAGCATTTTCATCCCAAAATGGCCAGTCTCTGCTATCAACAAAGTCGATAGTACCAGTGCTGCCCTCATCAGCTCCCCACACATACAGATGTAAATAATTCACCAGCCACTACCATTGTCACCAGAATCCTCAAGTCAATCCACCTCCCACTACTATTGCTGTTCTAAGGATCAGCTGATGCTGCCAGGTAAATCTTTCAAAAGGTGTTTGGAGCTTCATGTTGTGGGGAGGAGGTAGGCATGTTGGGTAACTATTCCTGAAGAGTGGAACAGTGTTATGGTGAAAAATTTGTGAAAAAGCCTTTGTTAAAATTTTGACAGCATATTACTGTGCCCAGAAGTGTAGAATATTAGTAGTCCTAGGGGGAGATAAATTACTGGGCAGATATCAGGTGAGGTGATCAAAGGTGCATGCTGAATGCAATTTATATCACGGCTCCACAATTAATCACATGGATATTACAACTGCATTGATATATAGTATCATAAGGAATTTATGTAAAACCACTGAATTATTTTTAAACAAATAATAATACAATAATAATAAATAAAATAATAATAATAACCTGAATAGTAGAGCATTTGCTTCAGCATGGATAAGGACTGGTCCTTTTGCTGTTCCTGACTCTTTTTTGATGTTTCTACCTGCACAAGGCAGGTTTGCAAATATTGCACCAATAGGATATCCATTATAACCTGCCCCAAACTAAGAAAAATAATTAGTAGACCCTAACAGAGCTGTAAGATAACAAGAATGATTAAAAAAAAAGAAAGACACATATCTCTGTAGTTTAAATAAAGATAAATACAAATACATGAAATTGCCTTTTTTTTAGACACACACAATTTCCATTTTGAGAAAAGTTTGTAATATACAATAGTTACATCACTTTTACTTCTCAGGTATTTTTCTACTCAAATACTCAGTCACTGTCTAGTATCAAGACCAATTATTTCTTACATATATACAACAGTCTGAGAGCCCTATAATGAATGCAATATACACTATTTTGTATATTGTTATATACTGCTTCCCAAAGTTTTGAGGCAATTTTTCCAATTTACCAGATTAAAATATCTCAACTACACCAGCAAATAACCTTCTCACTCTCACTATCCCATTCAAAACCACTAGCTACCATACATACTTTTTTCCTGCACCCAATGACCTCAAAATTCCTCCACCACCATAATATCTTTCCCTCCCTACCTTAATAATATAGTTAGGGCCAGCTTCTTTGCTGGGCCATGGTGAATCACTTGCCTGGATTTCAATATCATTATTGTTACTGTGTTTATAGTTAAGTGATTAGGAGCTAGCCTTCTGAGGGAAAGGAGGCTGTAAGTGAAATCCAGAATATCAGAGGAAGGAGGTGCCAGGAATTGTTAGCTGCAATTTCACAAAAAGAAGATGTGTTTCTTTAAATGAACTGTATGTGGTGTTCTAGAAACTTTAGGTGTTTTAATAAGAATTTTTAGGTTTTCAAAGAGGTGAGAAAGGTTCAAGGCCAGATTCTGATTCAGTTATCTTGATGTAAAATTAAATCTAGTGTAACTAAGATTAGATTAAAATCTCATCTTCAAGGCCCAATACTAGGGTATGCATTATCACTGTGTTACAGAAGTGGTTGAGAGTGCAGCCAAAAAGCCCTGTGCTCCTATGGGGTACTGTGCCTTATACACTTTACTAAGGGCTAAATACTGAAGGCATTATCTAGTTGTAAGGTAGATACATTAATGTAGCAACGAGCAGCCAGGTAACAGTGGCAAAAGCTGGAAGTACCAGTACTAGTATACTCATTAGTTAATGCACTGGAGAGAGTGAACATTAAAGGAAGTTCATGGAGCATTTGCCATACTTACAAAATATCCATTCTGATTGTATAATATGCAACCCACACCTCGATCTGGATCATCTTTTATAAGAAAAAGAGCATTTTATATCACTTTAGTGGTTAGATTTTAAATATTATATTGTGGCTTAAGGTGTCACACTTTAGAATATTGGAACAGAAAGTATACGTAGACTGATCTGTCTAAACTATCACAAGTTCCCCTACAGAGCATACACTATATTAATACATTATCTAGATAGCAACATATACACTGTTATTATGGAAAGGCATTATTATAATCAGATACAAAGAAAAGCATATTTCATCACAACACAACAACCCAATGTAAAGTTTTTCCTTGATTAGTAATCTCAAAATATAAACACAATACAAAACACTGAAAATGGAACATAAAATGTTTTATGTACACATTAATTGGGTATGGTAATGAACTCCAAATGCAAGGCCACTTACATACATAGCTTTACCATAAACAAACAATTTTACACACTTTTCCTGGTAAACTACAAATGCAAAAGAAGAATGAGCAATTATAAGTAAAAAGAAAAGGAGTACTTGTGGCACCTTAGAGACTGACCAATTTATTTGAGCATGAGCTTTCGTGAGCTACAGCTGAAGTGAGCTGTAGCTCACGAAAGCTCATGCTCAAATAAATTGGTCAGTCTCTAAGGTGCCACAAGTACTCCTTTTCTTTTTACGAATACAGACTAACACGGCTGTTACTCTGAAACCTGCAATTATAAGTACTTTACCAAAAAATGTGTCTGTGGATAAATATATTAACTGATCATTTTCGTTTGACATTATCACAAGAAAATGTTCAGAGGCCAAAATAATGAAAATAAAAAATATCTAAATATAAACATTCATACATACACACAATCCAGAGAGTCAGAATTATGGGTGCTGTGTTGTGATGAAATGTGCACTTCTTTGTACTTGATAAAAAAACTTTTATGTTTATTAGGTGGACATTATAAGATTTACTATCATTTCCTTGCTTTTAATTGCTTAGGTTTTATAAATGATATTAGATAAGGACATGGTTGTCACTTAGTAATCTTCATTGTTTTTAAACAAAGCTTTTTGGGTTTGAAATATGATAGTGTGATTCAAAATAAATTGTTTCAATTTCACTTGCACTCAGTGGTGAGCTGGAGCCGGTGCCGGTTTGCTAGAACCGGTTGTTAAATTTAGAAGCCCTTTTAGAACCAGTTGTTCCGTGAGGGACAACCGGTTCTAAAAGGGCTTCTAAATTTAACAACTGGCCAAAAGTGGCACCTTAGGCGCCGACTCCGCGGGTGCTCCAGCCCTGGAGCACCCAAGGGAAATATTTGTGGGTGCAGAGCACCCACCGGCAGCTCCCTGCCCCACCCCCGGCCCCAGCTCACCTCTGCTCCGCCTCTGCTTCCTCCCCTGAACACTCCACCCTGCTCTGCTTCTCCGCCCCCCCCCCCCCCCAGGCTTCCCGCAAATCAGCTGTTCACGCGGGAAGCAGGGGCGGGCTGAGAAGTTGGCAGCTTCAGGCTCAGGCCCAGGAGGCGGAGAGGAGGTGAACTGAGGCGGGGGGGGGGGGTGAGGAGGGCTGCCCGCACCGCAGCAAGTAACCCGGGGGGGGGGCCCGCAGGGGAACCGCTCCCTGCCCCAGCTCACCTCCGCCACCCTCAGCCTGAGCGCAAAGCCACCACCTGCTTCTCAGCCCTCCCAGGCTTCCTGCCAAACAGCTAATTCACGGGAAGCGGGCGGGGGCGCAGAGAAGCAGAGCGGGGTGGTGCATTCAGGGGCAGAGGTGGCACGGAGGTGAGGTGAGCTGGGGCCGGGCCCAGGGCGGGGAGCTGCCGGTGGGTACTCTGGGCCCACCAAATTTTCCCCATGGGTGCTCCTTTTGATGTGATCAGTGCGGGGAGCAGCCGCTCCCCCTGCTTTCCCACTAGCTACACTCCCGCACCCCTAGGAGCAAGAGGGACCTGCTAGATGCTTCCTGGGAGCTGCCCCAGGTAAGCACCACCAGGACTCCCCACCTCACCCCCACGGCAGGTCCCTCTGGCTCTTAGGGGTGGGTGGGCACCCACTACAGTGGCCCACGAGACCCTCCTGCCCGGTTCTGGGGGCAGTCAGGGGACAGGGGAAGGGGGTGGATGGGGCAGGGGTCCTTGGAGGGGGAGCGTCAAGGAATGCGGGGGGTTGGATGGGGCAGGAGCCCCAGGGGGCGGGGGTGGGTAACGACCCTCTCATAGGGTGAGGAGGGAACCGGTTGTTAAGATTTTTGGCAGCTCATCACTGCTTGTACTGATCTGAGTTTAAATCTACTTTGACTCAAATGTAGTACTGGATATGATTTCAATAAACATATCTACTTATTTAAATGAAAAATTATTTATTTAGCTCCTGGGTGAGGAAAGCATGCCAATTCCTTTGTTATCAGCATGAGTTATGAAATATTTGGCTTAGCTCTAACTAAATTTATTAGGAAAAATACGTTTTCATATTTGTTTGCTATTTTTTCTATATTTTCAGTATACTTACCAGATCTTGCTGCTAAAAGATAACAAAGCTGCAATGCATGTGTGTGCATTTTTTCCACTTCAATCTTTTCTTTTTTTTCAAATTCTCCATGGGGACAATGCAGTAAACTATCAAGGCAACACAATGCAATCTTCATCTGCTCTGCACATATCCTTATATGGCCTTGCATATTAAGCAATGAACTATTTTTTTCCATGTCTTTAGGGACAGCCTCAGCATAATGGGAACTGCATTCTGTGCACTTGTATATTTTGATTCTAGATGAAATCTTAAATACAGTGTCAGAGTCTGTGATTGGTAGAAAAACACTGCTACTTATATTACTTCTGAGAAACATTTGGTCAACTTGCTTGAGATCTTCCTGAACTGCTGAATCTTCCCCTTTTATTTCTGGAGACATTGGCCAGTAATAGACTGAAGAAACTGATCCTAAAGATGAAAATTTAGACTGATTTGTAGTACAATTCAACCAGACAGGATCATTAATGCCTACATTTCTGGATAACAATGGTGGGCCTAATTCTCTATTGCAGTGCAGCCAGTGTGTGCAATGCTGTTGGTGCATTCTAGTGAAGAAAAACTAATGTAGCTGGCCACAGAGAATATCCACACCCCAGTACAGAGGGCTCCTTGGATGCTGTAGAATCACTGTAACAGCTACTATCCCACCCGTCATACCTGAGGCCAGTAGAGAGAGCATGGCTGAGAAAAGGAGCCAGGGCCAGGCTAGCCTTACACCCAGCTATTCTAACTTTTGCTAGGGGCTGGTCTGGTGCCCAGACAGCTCAGTAGTGGGAGGGCATAAAAGCAAGCTTTGCACCATCAACTTGAGCTGTAGCATGTGGCCCTTGGGGACAGGGGAGCCGAAAACTGAGAGTTATATATTTTTGGACCTGCTTCATAAGTGGATCCTGACACAAACTCACACTACATGACTTGAGAACTACAATTTATGACCCTAGCCTGCAAATCCTTTCCAGGCAAATAGTTTCACTGATTTCAAAGGGACTACTTACATGAATAAAGGACCACTTGTGAGAGTCAGGATTTGCAGGATAGAGTTCCATAAGATAACATGATTTTTTCATACCCGATATTCAGTACGGGCTTATTTCTGATCTCCTTACCCAAAAAAAAAAAGAAAAAGAAAAAGAAAAAACCTCCCATTGACTTCAAGGGTTGGTCAGTTTATTATTTACCTTGAATGAGAAATGTAGTACAGATGGAGCAGGGTTTCCTGGACAAATACACAGTGCAGTTACTCAAACAGGGAACGTTCAGCATGACATGTTGCACAGCATGTAAGTTTTCTCTGGAGCAGCTCATTGCTACCACTTTGTGTATTTTGTCTGACTCGCACACAACAATCCCAGTTTTATTGAACTGAAAGAAAACATTGTGACTTACTATTTGTCTGCAAATTTTATTTTACAAACACCTACGTTTTAAAAAGCAGCTTCAATGTATTACAGATTTGGCCACACTGTATATAAGTACATTGATTCTTGAGTCCTAATAACCTTTGGCTCTTAATTTGTCTTTCTGCTTTATCAGCCCTATGCATATTTATTTACTTGTTCATTATTCTTATTAATTCACTATCTTTATATGTGTATGCTGTTTCTGAATGGACCCAATCAGTCTCCCTTTGAAGTCACTGATGAAACTCCAAGTGACCTTAAGCAAGCAAAATCAACCCATAGTTTTCTAAAACACCCTCAAGTGAAATTTATGAGCAAGAAAAAGGAACCGTGACTTTGTGAGGGGTCTAAATCATTTCTATCAGGATCTTTTGTCAGCATTACATTAGCTGTGATGGATACAGTAAGGCAGAGAAACATCAGTGCTACTGATTAGATTGCAAGCTTTTTGGATGAGAAACTATGTCCACGTATAAGGGAGCTAGATAGGTTAATCAATGGCTATCTTCCATGAATCTATCAGCCAGGATGGGCAGGAATGGTGTCCCTATCCTCTGTTTGCCACAAACTGGGGGTGGGTGACAGGGCATGGATCACTTGATGATAATCTGTCTGTTCATTCCCTTTCGGGCACCTGCCATTGGCCACTGTCAGAGGACAGGATACTGGGCTTGATGGACCTTTGGTCTGACCCAGTAAGGCCATTCTTATGTTCTTATGTTTATACAGTGCCCAGCACAATAAAGACCTAATCCTTCTGGGTGGCTTTGGATTCATATAATAGATGATATTATCTGACAAAGCTTTCTTATGAAGTTAGTGTATAACTTAAGCTCAAACAAATTCACTCTTAAAGGTAAAATTCTAGTCTTCTCTGTGGAGGCAGTAACTGGAATAATCTACACTAGGGGGTTTCACATGTTATTCAATTATCTTAAAGAACAGTAGTTAATCTGGCCCATTATGCACAGGAAGGATGGAAAGTGATCAATAACAATAATATTTAATACATAAAATGTTTTACATTTTAAAATCTCTATACAGTATGAACAAATCTCCAAAGCACCCCGGCAAGTAAGCTTTACGATCCCCATTTAACAGATAGGAAAACTAAAACAGAAGACTTGTATACACTAGCCTTTTCCAGAAATCTCCTACCACTGTACTACCTACCATTAGGTATGTTAAGGATTATGGTATATTGATATGATATAGTGCCTGTGAATGATCACATCTCAGCTGTTATCTAATTAGGGAACTGAGCTCTTTATGTAACTGTTCATCTGCTTGCCGACTGAAAACTAAATGGTATTGATTACTGTTGGTACCTATTAATTGATATTATCAGTGATTTTAAAGGTTCATCCCCTTTTACTGGAAAGAAACACCTCTTTGCAGTGACATCTCTCTCATTGCATACCTTTTCAGATGGATTAACACACATTGGAGATTTCTCCATATGAAGGGCTAGAAACATACACATGTCTTTTTTATTTCCTAAACGTGTGGCAATCTTGTAACCTACATAGTTTCAAAGAAAGAAAAAGACATATTCAATAGACATATTCAAAAAGAGCCCCAATCTATGTTGTTAAAAACATTGTCAACTGTTGTAATGCAGGTAATTTACTGAGCATCTATCATGAAAAAAAACATTTGGGGTGAAAACTTGGCACCACTGAAGTAAATGGGGCTAAAATTTAACCTTTGGGCACCTTTTAACTATGAGGACAGTTAATCTCTGGAACAGGCTTCTGTGACGCTGGCAGACCGGTGCCAGCTCTTGCCAAGGCCCCTAGACATCACTGAACACTGACAAATGCATAGCTGGAAAACAGTCTGACTCACCTGTGTGTTACCATTGTTACAAGAGATGTTAAAGTTATAAGAACGTATTTAGCGGAATGCTTGTGAGTTGCTGCGTGCATTAATCTCAATCTTGTTAATATCTGTGTCCCTTGTTATAAGGTAATATGGAAGTGTTTGCTTTGTACTACGAAAGTGTTTGCTATGAAACTGAAAACCCCCACAGTCAGGAGAGAAGAATTACCAAGCGTGAAATACTAGTTCACCGGAAGAGGTGTCATTTCCTCTCCAACAAAACAAGGCCTATAGACACCAGACAAATTGTGGAACACCAATGGATGAATGACTTTGTTGATTGCTTCACCACACCCAGGAAGCAGATACATGCACAAACCCTCCTCCCGTCACAGCTTGAATGCTGGGGTAAGGGAATAAAAATCTCTGTTAAGGAGAAATTGTTATCACTATGCTGCTTGGAATTTGGAGAGGGCAGTAATTCTAATAAACAAGGGATTCCCCCAGCTGCGTAGCTTGGGTTAGTCCTAAAGGACATATTAAGCTTGCACATTACAGCAACTACTATTATATTTTGAAACCGAAGACAGTAACTCATTTGTGTATGTATGTTTAACTGCTTTAACCTTGTAGACCAGTGTTTCTCAAACTGGGGCCCACAGACCCCTGGGGGGTCCCCGAGGGTACCCCAGGAAGTCTGCAGGCCCCGCTGATCAACTCAACTCCTCCCCCTCCCTCCCAGTGCCTCCTGCATGCTAAAAATCTGGTGGCACAGCAGGGCTAAGGCAGGCTTCCTACCTGTCCTGGCTCCGCACCAGTCCTGGAAGAAGCTGACACGTCTCTGGGGTGGAAGAGGAGGAGGGGGTCTCCGTGCACTGTCCCCATCCCAAGCACTGACTTCCTAGCTCCCATTGGCTGGGAACTATGGCCAATGGGAGCTGCAGAGGCAGTGTCTGCTGACAGGGGCAGCGCACGGAGACCCCCTGGCTTCCCCGCCTAGGAACCGCTGCCAGACGGATATGCAGGTTGCTTTTGGGGCTGCCCAAGGTAAGTACTGCCTGGCCGGAGCCCGCACCCTGTACCCAAACTCCCTCCCAGAGCCCATACCACCCCCCCCCCGCACCCAAACTTCCTCCCAGAGCCTAGAGCCCACATCCCCTCTGTGAAGTTATCTGATTAAAATATAACCATGTAGATTATTGTTGCTACCACTGTTATATAATTGCAACAAATATTGTACAAAGGTTGTCAAGTAAGGTGTCTATGGAAAGGTTATGATTTGCTGAATATGATTTTGCTATTTGTATGCATGTACCATTATTGTATTTAAAGTTATGAGTATTGGCTTTATATCTGGATTTCAAATATGCTTGCTCCTGTGGCAATGCCCACAAGGTATTTAGCCTGTACATCTTGAAGAGACTATTCAAGTTAAGTGGCCCATCAAAATAACACTTAGCTCACAATGGAAGACACATATTTACTCTTAACAGAATTTCCTGCTATGACTAAGCGAAATCATGCCTAGACATGTGACTTGCTCATGTGACTCCAAACTCCATCTTTTACCTGTAATTCTCCACTAGCTGGCCTGATGTCTTTGTTTGAAACAATGGATTTCCCTCCACATGGCAGAAGCTATAAAAGGTGCTTGGAAACATCTCAATTTTGCCTCTTTCCTACTCAAACCTATGGCCTATGAATTTATACTAATGGGAGCATTCTAACCAAGGGGCTGAGGCCCTTCCAATGATTTGGAAGCAACCAGAGACTTAACAAGTCCACAGTTTATTCAATCACTGCTACAAGCCTGAACCAAGGACTTTGCAATTGCTGTATGTATTTGATTCCTTTAACCAATTTTAACTCTTACCTTTCTTTCTTTTTATAAATAAACCTTTAGATTTTAGATACTAAATGATTAGCAACAGCTTGATTATTGGGTTATATCTGAGTGATATATTGTCCTGGGTACGTGGCTGGTCCTTTAGGATCAGAAGAACACTTTGTTTGATGAAACTGGTTTTAAAGAACCACGCATCTTTAAGTCTATTGTCTGGATATTGAATCCAGGACTGGAATGCCTAAAAAACTGCTTTTCTGACGTATTAGTCAGTGTGGTGAAACAGAAGTTTACTTGTGTTGCTGATTTGGTATATCAGATACATCCCAAACCACCAGTTTTGAGATGTATCTGCCATATTTCTCAGCAGTTTGTCCTGAATTTGGTATTCTCGGTTGTGATCCACGAAGGCATGCTGATACCCTCCCATACCCCAACTCCCTCCCAGAGCCCACCCCCCACACTCAAACTCCCTCCCAGAGCCCACACCCCCTCCTCCACCTCAACCCCCTGCCTGGTGAAAGTGAGTGAGAGTGGGGGAGAGCCAATGATGGAGAGAGCGGGTATGGAGTGAGAGCGGGCGGGGCCTTGGCGAAGGGGGCAGGGCTGAGCAGGGGAAGGGCTTGGGGGTGCCCAAAATTTTTTAAATCAAAATGGGGGTCCTCAGGTTGCTAAAGTTTGAGAACCGCTGTGGTAGATAACCCTCATTTCTTTTCTTAGTTAATAAATCTTTAGTTAGTTTATTACAGGATTAGCTACAAGCTTGCCTTTGGTGAGAGATCTAGGTGCAACTGACCTGGGGTAAGTGACAGGTCCTTTGGAACTGAGAGTAACCTGAATTTTGTTGTGCTTTCTGGTGTATGGGAGCATCTATCACAAAGGCAGGCTTGCCTGGGTGAAAAGATAGACCAGAGTGCCCAAGGGGACTGTCTGTGACTCCATGTTAACATTGAATCATAGAACCATAGAGTTAGAAGGGACCACAAAGGGTCAGTCCAGTGGCTCTCAACCTTTCCAAACTACTGTACCCTTTCAGGAGTCTGATTTGTCTTGCATACCCCAAGTTTCACCTCACTTAAAAACTACTTGCCTTATAAAATCAAAAATAAAAATACAAAGGTGTCACAGCTCACTATTACTGAAAAATTGCTTACTTTCTTATTTTAACATATAATTATAAAATGAATTGCAATATATTGTGCTTACATTTCAATGTATAGTATATAGAGCAATACAAACAATAATTGTCTGTATGAAATTTTACTTTGTGCTGACTTCGCTAGTCCTTTTTATGTAGCCTGTTGTAAAACTAGGCAAATATCCAGATGAGTTGATGTGCCCTCTGGAAGACCTCTGCGTACCCCAGGGGTAAACGTATCCCTGGGTGAAAACCACTGATCTAGTCTTACCATGTTAGGGCTATTATAGTGCTTGTGGAGTTCACACTTGTTACTTGGTTTGTGAAATCTAAGTATAGAACATACAACCAATTTGGGGATTGTAGGCCTGCTTCTTGACAGTCTTCCCTGAGGTTGGCACCCATGTTCATGAACCACTCCGGGTAGCCTGAGAATTTCTAAGGAAGGCTGTGTAATCCACCATTGGAGGTTTTTAAGAACAGGCTGGACACAACTCCTCTCAGGGATGGTCTAGGTTTATTTGGTCCTGCCTCAGCACAGGAAGCTGGACTTGCTGACCCTTCCAGGTTTTTTGTTTTGTTTTGTTTTGGAGTTCTTTGGTTTTACAGATGTATGCAAAAAACAAACACACAGCGTAAACAAAGCCTCCAGCTTTCTTCACTGCTCACCAACCAGCCTATACATTGGATGAGGCGGGGTCTTACAGAAAAAATATTGGGCCAGATCCTCAACTGATGTAAATTGGCATAGCTCCATTGCTGAATTCTGAGTACTTCACATTACAACCTTTACGTTATTTGTAACAATTTTTATATGGAATTTCTTATATTTACCAAAACATCAATAATCCATTATGTGGGACAATTTGCTAGATATAGAATGCTCTGTTCTGCACAAGATTGATACTCACTCCACTGCATCAGTTTTACCCGTTTAACTTTACAGACCAGAATGTAGTTACACTGGATAAGACCACTGTAACAGAGTAGGGAATCAGGTCCAAGATGTGCAACCTTGCCTCAGCTGATGCCCAGTCACAACACTGTTGAAGTCTTTCAGATGACTTCAGATGTTGGATTGGGTTTTAAGTAAGTGCAATTCTGAGTACTGAGGTACACACGCCAGATATAATAAAGAATTTAAAGAAAGATAAGGATTAGTGATTTAGTTTTGTTCACACAAGAGCAAGTGGTTAAAAACTTATTTTCTATTCCACCCACTTTTTCCTTTAAATTACATTGGAAATTGATTCTTACAAATATTCCACATCTTTCATCAAACTTACCAATGGTACCTATCACTTTGTTCGTTAACTGCATAGTTCTCAGGCCTCGTGGACTATCTTTTGTTTATCATATTTTACCCATTTTAAGACCCCATATTGTGTACACTGCTTTATAAATAGTAAGGCCCCAGTCTTCTACTAAGAATCGTGTAGGCCTTGACCTGTGGGTCCCTTCCCATGAGGTTGTACATCCCTACTATTATTTCCTCTGCAGCCACCATTCATAGGTGGGCAGCAAGAAGAAGTAATTGTGATCCTGATCTACGATTGGAGCCCCTAGGTGCTACCACAATACAAATAAACAAACAATAAAATAATAATAATAATAATAATAATAATAGACCTGGGCTGCCACAAATGTCCTGCACATCCATAAGCAGCTGGGATCTGCACATCAGATCTACTAGGAAGAGCCCAATTGTCAAATGTGTAAATATGTTTAACTGGGTACCAGTTTCTTCTATTAATCAGCTCAAAATGTAAGCCAAGAGAAATACAAACCCCGTTCCATGTCTGACTGTAAAAGTCTCTTCCTTTGGAAAATATTTAACAATTTCTTCCTTCCGTCCTTCCTCTTTCTTTCATCTGATATCACTGTGGTAAAGAAAGATTATATCATTATGTCCAGAATCAAAATCATACATATATGAAAAAATATAATTTCATTGTGCTTATAAATGTGTTCTAAAACAGCATAATAAACGCTTTTCCTCCATATGAATGAAAGGTACATGAACAGAAAATTTTGACATGTAATATCACAGCCTCATACTGTTCGCCAGCAAAATAAACTTTCAAAAAAATAAGAGAATTGAGCCCTTCCCTGTAATTGGATTAATTCAAGTATACTGCATCCGATGAAGTGGATTGTAGCCCACGAAAGCTTATGCTTAAATAAATTTGTTAGTCTCTAAGGTGCCACAAGTACTCGGATACAGACTAACACGGCTGCTACTCTGAAAAATAACATTGATGTTTCAACTTCTCACAAAGCAGATGAAACACATTCAATAAATATTGCACCATCATTTTGGTGTGTTGTCTCCATTTTCTTCTGTGTAATTAACACCGATTTCTACTTTTTTTTAAAGGAATTGTTAACTATTGGTGACTGAAAGAAACTTTATTTTGTATATTCTAAACACCTAAATAAAAAGCCATTTAATAGAGTAAATTTATGCTTTTCTTACCTGTTTCTCTATTACTAAGAGCATTTGCTTCACAGACATTTAAAAGGCTTTTAAAGAGCAGAAGTGAAACTTAAAAACTACTTTCAGTTCATTTATTTGTCGTGATCACAAACTATTTCCTGATGATGTTGTAATAGGTCAATCCTATTTCATAATGCTGTGTGTACTATGTGAAGGGGCAAGGCCAGATGGCTATCGGAAAGTAGCAAGAAACAGGTATATTAGCCCCAGGCTAAACAAATCCCTGTTACCATAGTAATCAAATGGCAGTTGCTCCAGGTTAATCAAGACACCTGGGGCCAATTAAGATCCTTCCAGAAAACAGTGGAGACAGCTAGGTTGATTGGGACCTTGAAGCCAATCGGGGCTGGCTGAAACTAGTTAAAAACCTCCCAGTTAGTCAGGTGGGGTGTCAGGAGCTGGAGGAGGAAGTTGCACTATTGGTGAGACTGAGCAGTACAAACCATATCAGGCATAAGGAAGGAGGCCCTGAGGTAAGGGTGAAGTGAATCTCAAAGAAGTGGGGAAGCAGCTCTGGGGAAGTAGCTCAGGGAATTGTATGTGTCCTGTTTCAAAAAAAGTCAGCTATCATAGCTGATACTATTAGGGTCCCTGGGCTCAAACCCGGAGTAGAGGGCAGGCCTGGACTCCCCCCTGATTAATCAGGGAGACAACAGAGACTGTGTGAGGGAGGATAGCTTCTTCTCACCTCGCTTGCTGGCTTGTGATGAAAATGGCTCAGTAGGCTGTGACCCTTGCCCCTAAAAAGAGAAGGGCTACATGGAGGGTCACAGTCAGCCTCTGAGGCTAGTGAAATCTGCCAGGGAATGTGAGACCCACAGAGACAAGGAAGGTGCTTTGTCACAACTATTTAAAATACACAGTGTTAATTAAACAAGATTAATTCTCTGAAATAATGGAAGTTGACCAGACTAGTGCAGGGTATGAAGATAAGCTCCAAAAATGCCCTTTGAAATGATGAACCAGAGGGCACTTTATTCTTGTACTCTGCGCATCTCTAGCAAAAAAGTTCTGCCTCCCTCCCCCCCCCAATGTTAATTTGCAAGTGACTTGCTCCTCACTTCTGACTATGGAGTGATGAACTGGACAGTAGGGCTGGTGAGTTGTATGGGCCCATGGTGCCCAGGCTTCAGCAAATTCAGGGCCTAGCTCCACCAATGTTCAGGGCCAGGGCTCTCCCACCTGCCTCCCCTGGCTGTCCCTGCCAGCCCTTGGCAGTGGGAAGCTGCCCCCTGAAGCTCCCTGCTGCGCTCCCTTGATGGCCACTGCCACAGTCCACTACAAGGGAGTGGTGTCGGGGGCAGGCTGAGGCAGCTTGCTGTGCCTGCAGAGGAAGGTGGGGAGGAGGCACATGGCAGCTGCGCTCCCCCACTCCCAGCGGGTGACTGAGCCAACTCTGGTGTGGAGGAAGGTTTATCCTGGCTGGACCTCCTGATCAGCAGCCTGGGGGGCTTGGTTGAATGTTGTGCTGGGGAGGGGCCCCCCTCCTGTGGAGATTGCTGGTGGGGAGTCCTTCTCTCTGGCCCCCAGCCCTGGGGCAGCCTGCCTGCTATACCCCAAACTCCTCATCCCTGGCCCAGCCCCATGCCCCACAGCCCCTCCTGCACACAACCCTCCTTCCCAGCCCAGAGCCCGCACCGAAACTCCTTCCCAGAGCCCGCACCTCTCCCACACCCAAACTCTCTCCAAGATCCTGCACCCCAAACCCCCTCCTGCACCCAAACTTCCTCCCAGCTCTAACCAGCATAAGGAAAAAAAAGTCAATACTAAAGTTCAGCCTTCAATCAAATTTTCAATCTGATAAGCCCACAGAATGACTTGAGTGAATAGAGTATGTTACCTGATTCAGACCTGCCATAAAGCTTAACACAAAGCATGGCAAAGTGCAGTTCAGTTCATTAATTCATGTGACTGGTAGTGCAGACAAATTATAAATCATTTGCCTTCCCTCAGAAAAGAGATTAAGAATAATTAGAGTCTTTAAGTCTGATAAGCATTCCATTCCACATTTAATATATGAATGAAATTGCTTTTACCAAAAAGGTGCCAAGGCTCAGAAGATATGGAAGCCTCTTTCAAGAACCTTATAGCTACAAATAAAGCATTGTGATTGTGGTATCCATAAGAGAGAATACCTAAGATCCTAATTAAGTTTGAATTTTTAAAAGGAACTTTCCAATATGTTATAGTTAATGTCTGAGCTGACAAGTGGTGTAAAAAAAATCAGATACCTGAGTAGAGTAAGTGCGAGTCACCTAGCAAGAAGCAAAGAAATAATTCCCATGGGGGAAAAAAGGGAAGAACCATTCCTAAGACCTGAGTTCCTGGTCAGAAATGTGGTAGGTGTAGAAAGAACACATGACAGATGAAATGGAGTGGAACCAGTGGAAATGTGCAGGGAATGTAAAGAAAAGGGTATTTGGAGCATGTCTTGAAAGGGAAGTGGGAGCAAAATGATCAGGAAGATAACCGAAACAGGGATAAGTGAAGCCTATTTCATGGGACTGTGTATCCAAAGATGGCCCACCAACCAGGTTTGGACTGTTAGTGAAATCTTATTACACTTTAAATAAATTCAGGACTAGAGGTGACTCCCTAAAGCTGATCTGATTTCCTATGGAAACTGTATTGCAGTTCCACAGTAGCCTACAATGACATACTGGAAAGGATTCACGAGGCATCTCAAGGCCACAAATTACATCTAATTTCATAGAATCTCAGGGTTGGAAGGGACTTCAGGAGGTCATCTAGTCCAACCCCCTGCTCAATGCAGGGCCAATCACCAGTTTTTGCCCCAGATCCCTAAATGGCCCCCTCAAGGATTGAACTCACAACCCTGAATTTAGCAGGCCACTGCTCAAACCACTGAGCTAAATTGCTTTTGCTTTATTATTTTGCAGTATAACAAATCATTTGATACATAAAATTGCAACATTTTTAGCACTGAGTTATTTTATATTAGTACAGTCTTTCCATACTTCCTTTTCAACTCATTGTCACAAATATAACTGTTTAACACGTTGTCATGCCCCAGTACCTCAAATGTATTGTTTTATGTAGGTAAAGAACTTCACCTGCCACTCAAGGTACCTATAGGGACAGAGTCTGCAACCCCTCTGCCCTTTTCTAGACGCCAATTTAAAGTTAAGCACACGCATAAGTACTTACCTAATCACTTCAAGGAAGTCACTCACAAACAAAAATAAGCACGTGCTTTGCTGAACCAGAAGCATGTCATTTTGGTTAGGTATGGCCCAGTAGCGGGAGGGGGGACCCTAGTTTCTCTTTTTCTAGCCGGAGCAGAGTCTCTCTCACCTTTGGCAGGTTCAGCCAGCACTTGTTCCCCAGTAACAGCAGCCAACCACTTTGTCCGGTATGTCTAATCACTTTCATCAAATCAGATTGTGGTGTCATTGAATCCAAATATTAAGAACAAAACACACATTTTAAGAAAAAGGAAAGCGTTTAAAACGCCAGTAATTTTAACGTATGTAACTAACAACACGTGGGCCTGGAAAAATGAAACTGGCCAGGGAGTGAGTCCTGAAAAGAGGAGCCCTTTGGGCGGGGCTCGAGGGGATCACGGCGGGAGGCTTTGCAAATCCGAGCTGGCGCACAGGGTCGTTCTCTGACAACGGGATTTTTTTCTTGATCACGCGCAGCGTGCGCCCGCCACTTTCCCCGCTTGGGGCTGCAAAAAAAAAAAAAAAAAAAAAAAAAAAAGGCGGAAGCCGGCCCCGGCGGGGGGGGCGGTGCTAGGAGCCGCGGAGCACGGGGTGGGGCGGAGGCGGGGCTTCTGCACCCAGCTCTTACGCAGGGCCCAGGAGAGGGCGGGGCCCCGGGAGCCCGGCCCCGCGGCCGTGCCCGCTCCGGCGACAATCGGGGAGGAGCCCCCCCCTTCCGTCAGACTCTTCGTCCCCAGCGTCCCGCGCACCGCCCTCGCCAGCCAAGATGGCGGCGCCCACGCTGCGGCGAGTGGGGGCCCGCCGGGCCGCGGGTCTCTGCGGGCTCCTCTCCCGGCGGGTCCATCACCAGCCGCAGCGGGCTCCGGCCGCCAAGAGGCTGCTGGCGGCGCAGAGCGAGCGGGGCCTGTTCCAGGAGGTGTTCCCGGCGCAGGGCGCGGAGGAAGGGCTGCCCGCCCTGCTGGAGCCGGGCCGGCCCCCGCAGGCCGTTTACTGCGGCTTCGACGCCACGGCCGACTCGCTGCACGTCGGCCACCTGCTGACCGTCATGGGCCTGCTGCACTTTCAGCGCGCGGGGCACAACGTCATCGCCTTGGTAGGCGGGGCCACCGCCCGCCTGGGCGACCCCAGCGGCCGCACCAAGGAGCGCGAGCCGCTGTCGGAGGAGCTGGCGCGGGCGCACGCGCTGGGCCTGCGCGAGGGGCTGCGGAGGCTCTTCGAGAACCACCGCCTGCTGTTCTGGCCCGCGGCGGGCGGCGCGCGGTTGGGCGAGGTGATGCTGCAGGACAACGCGTGGTGGCTGGGGCGCGAGCCGGTGGTGGGCTTCCTGTGCGGGGTCGGGCGGCGCCTGCGCATGGGCACCCTGCTCAGCAGGCAGAGCTGCCAGGCTCGGCTCCGCAGCGCCGAGGGCATGAGCCTGGCCGAGTTCCTCTACCCGGCCCTGCAGGCCTACGACTTCCTGCACCTGCACCGACACCACGGCTGTCGCATCCAGCTCGGGGGAGCCGACCAGATGGGCAACATCATGTCCGGATATGAGCTCGTCACCAAGTACGGGCGGCGGGACAAGGGGGGTGACTGGGCTGCACCAGCGGGCTCTGCCTTCATCTCTCATAGGGATGGGCAGCCCCTGAGCGATGAGGGGGGCTGGCCTGCCACCGGCCGCGCCAGCATGGTCAGATGTTTCATCTCATCAGGATTGGCAACCTCTGAGGTGCCAACGTGAGCTGCCCTACTGTGGCCACCAGCTTCATCGCTCACAGGGATGGCAACCTGAGAGACGATAGGCCAGCCTGCCAGGTGCCATCATGGGCTACGCTAGTATGTCCAACCACTTCATCTCATTGGGCTCGACAGCCCTTGATAGGTGCCAGCACAAGCTGCATCACCGTGGCCTCCCACTTCATTTCTCTCAGAGACGGGCAGCCTCAGAGAGACCACGTGTCCCAGATTGCCCTGGGCTGCAGAAGCATAGCTGACTGCTTCCTCTCATAGGGCTGGGCACTGGAAGCCCCTGAGAGATGATGGGTCCCAGCCTGCTAGGTGCCATCTTGTGCCAAGTGGCCTGTGGCACCTAGCAGGCTGGGACCTGTCATCTAAAAGCGAGGAGGTGGCTATCTCAAGCTCAAGCCTGTTGCTTCACACATGCTAATCCACAGGTGTGACAGTGATGAGGGTGATATTAAAATACTGGAGGGGTCAAGCTTTTTCCCTTATTGTTTCTTCAAGTAATGCAAGAAACTCAGGATGGCCAAGCTCAAGTATTCAAAAATAATGAGTCAGACCTCAAATAGTTAATATTGGCTTAAATTATTTTTAAAAAAAAGAAGACAGTGGGTGTTTGTCTTTAGGGACACACGGATCACACTTTCAAGCTTTTCCTTGTAACCATGAGGGCTAGAAATTTTTATTTTTTAAATGAAAGCCGAGAGTCTCACACTTATTTGGTTCCAGCATCTCGGGTGTTAAGTAAACTAGCATATATGAAACTTGATAAAATTGCAAGGATTGGTAATGCTAAAGTGGTCAATATTTTCCAAAATTTCAACAAGTTTTCCACCAAACAAAAAATGATAATTTTTCTTTAACATCTCTAATATATAAGTAGTAACAACTCTTGGGTGCATGGGTGACAATACAACCCTCCATTGTCAGGTTGCCTGAGATATAGAGACTTTGAGGGAGCAGCATTGAAATGCTGCTCAGACTTTTTTTTTTTTTAAAGTCACAATCTATAATAATGACAGGTTTCAGAGTAACAGCTGTGTTAGTCTGTATTCTCAAAAAGAAAAGGAGTACTTGTGGCACCTTAGAGACTAACCAATTTATTTGAGCATAAGCTTTCGTGAGCTACAGCTCACTTCATCGGATGCATACTGTGGAAAATGCAGAAGATGTTTGTTTTTATACACACAAATCATGAAAAAATGGGTGTTTATCACTACAAAAGGTTTTCTCTCCCCCCCACCCCAACTCCCACGGCAGCCTTTATTTCCATTTCAACTACCAAGATACCCGAGTGGGGTGGGGGGAGAGAAAACCTTTTGTAGTGATAAACACCCATTTTTTCATGATTTGTGTGTATAAAAACAAACATCTTCTGCATTTTCCACAGTATGCATCCGATGAAGTGAGCTGTAGCTCACGAAAGCTTATGCTCAAATAAATTGGTTAGTCTCTAATCTATAATAAAAGACCAGGAGGCATTTAACGTTCAGTAATTGCAATCTTTATCATGGCAACAACTAGCCTGTTAAGAACGGAAGAGGCCTCTAAACATCTCTGACTGTCTCCAAGATATAAGACTGTTTGTGAGATTTATAGCAGCATGCCCTGCAATAGATAAGTGGAAGTAGAGGAGAAAAGGCAGCTGAAAAATGCTTTTAAGGAACAACTGCAGATACCAATGGTGGTGGAGTGTTGCTGCTGTACTAATAAGTGAAATGCAAACAGACTGCTTGGTCTAGCCTGTCTTGGTAGTTGAAATGGAAATAAAGGCTGCCGTGGCACTTCTCAAAAAGCTAGACAACATTCAAAGTTATTGTACAAGTTACGTTGAACATAGAAGAACATCTACAATACGCTATAGTAGAGGGGTGGTCAACCTGTGGCTCTGGAACCGCATGCAGATGTTCAGGAGATAATGTGCGGCTCCTTGCAAAGGCACTGACTCCGGGGCTGGAGCCTATATATGCTAACTCTATATATGCTAACTTTCCAATGTGCCGGGGGGTGCTCAGTGCTCAACCCCCTTCCCCCGAGCCTGGCATGCCCTCGCTGTCTCCCCACCAGAGCCTCCTGCACACCACGTAACACGTAACAGCTGATTGCAGCGGGTGGGAGGCATGGGGAAGGAGGGACGGAGAGGCACTGGGAGCAGGGTGGGGGGCTGCTGACGTATTACTGTGGCTCTTTTGCAATGTACCTTGGTAAATTCTGGCTCCTTCTCAGGCTCAGGTTGGCCATCCCTGCTATAGTACATCAAAATTGACATTCAGTGCATCTTAATGTAGTATTCTGAACCAAACGCTTCAGAAGAACCTGCCAAATTCCCTGTTATGGAATAACCTGCCAACAGAGAAAGTTTCTTCCTTACCTCTTATTAGCTGCTAGTTGTCTTATACCCTGAAGCTTGAGGCTTATATATATCACTTCTAATTTTTTAAAAACCTAAGTGGATAGTCTCATTATTACATATAAAACTATAGCTTATTTTGTATCCCACCAATATTGTCGCCTCAAACATTTAGTGGCAGTGAGTTCACAAGACAGATTTTTTTAAAAATGTACTTTAGTATAATCTAATTACTTTGTGAAAGGCTTAGAAGCAGCTCAGAAGGACCAGTAGTTCCAAGTACAAATTACATTTAAGCTTACCAAGCAATATGATTTTAATGCATTGTGATTCTTTCCCCACAGAGTGACGGGAGAAGATGTGTTTGGAATCACCGTGCCTCTTATTACCAGTACCACTGGAGATAAATTGGGAAAGTCTGCTGGTAATGCAGTTTGGCTAAACAGAGATAGGACCTCTCCATTTGAGCTGTATCAGTTTTTTGTTAGACAGCCAGATAGCACTATTGAAAGGCAAGTAGTTCTTCTTAAACCTCACTTCTCACAAAATTTGCTCCAGAGAACGCTATATAACAGCAGCACTGAAAATGTGCCTATGTTCTATACAGATAGATACAGTATGAGATCATGCAGTAAGATGGATTTCCACTATCATCATGCAAGTTACTCTTTTAAAATGTCTTTATTGATTAAATAACGTACATCAGATTAATAAATGTACATGACATTAGCACTTCATTTATTCACACATACTGGTAGATGCATCACAAGTTAGCATCAGAAAAGTGGACCATTGAGTTTTAAGTGGCTTGGGGACACCACCATGTAAGTGTATGAGTATGCACTTGAGGAAATAATCTAGAAAACATATGGTTTGTCCTAACTTTGCAAACAGAAATAAAGGTCTGAAAAAGTAGAATATCTACAATCTGGATTAATTAAAATAATTTTAACACAGGGAATTAAGTTTGCATGGCAGATAGAAAGGAAATCTAATATACTGACCAATGTAGAGATGAAAGAATTCCCTCCCTGCCCGTAGGTACCTGAAACTCTTCACTTTCCTTCCTCTTCCGGAGATTGAGCATATGATGGAAATGCATGCTAAAGAACCTGAAAAGTGGGGACCTCAAAAACGACTTGCTGCAGAAGTAACTAAGCTTGTTCATGGAAAAGAAGGTCTGGAATCTGCTAAAAGGTAAAGTTTTACTAATTTGTCTGTCCAGTTACGGGCTTATTTAGGATAAGTGCTCTTCATGACCAGAGGGAGGCACTGTGTGGATCGTTCATGAATAGGGCTCTGTGACTTCAGCAGCGGCCAGTGCAGCTGACCCCAGGGCCACCCAAGCAGCTGGCCCTGGGGACAGTCACACTGGCCGCTGCTAGAGCGGCTCTGCAGCCAGCCACTGCTGGAGCGGCCCGGGA